CATCTGAAGTGACATGCTCTGTCTCATCTCACACATGTTGGTTGTAATGACCATTTAATTGGCTTCATGGTTCTTCACATTTAGTGAGAACAAGCAGTAAGACACCACTCTATGCAATTAACACTGGAATTATAATATATGTAACCCCCAATGTTACAGGAAAGAAGTTAGCTTTATCATTGAAGACTGAATGTGAACACATTTTGATGTTTGACTTTTTCAAATAAACATTCATAAAAGTAGCTCCAAGGTTCATTGGAATAAACAAACTGTGGATCATAAGCAATCTGTAATATTTGTTTTATATTCCATTGATATCAAATAAACTAAAAGTATGAATACAAAAACTGGGCCCTCTATCAAACCTTTCATTCCTCAAAAGAGGATCTCAGGATTCACAGCACAATTCTGAGTCCAATGTCTCAGAAACAAAGAAACAGAATTGAGCCAATATTCCCACTAAAGGTGGTAAGCCACTCTGTCTGATCTTTCACAAAAGGCACTGACAAGATCATATAATGGGAAACTCTAGTTTATTGCCTTGATGCCAACAATGGTGTCATTATATCAGAAGAGTGAGGTCATGGACATTGACCTGATCTTTGAGATTTTAGGCTGACTTTGGCATTTTTTCTCTTATAAGTGCTGCTAGTCAACAGATATAGAACATCTGTGGAAAAAAAAGAAAAGGACAGCATAGAGATCACAATGAAGCCATGGGATGTTTTTGGCACAATAAAGAAAGAGGAGACAAAATCCGTAAAGAGGGCCAGCAACCCCTCTAAGTGGCTCAAAATGGGCATGCACCCATTATTTCCTTATGTGCCTGACTGGCATAATTAGAAAACTGGAAACATTGGTTTTCTGCAAAGATGTCATATAAGTTTCATTTTTCTGAAGAGGTTAAGGGAAAACCTCAATTGATAACTACTCTTAACACAACACTGAGACACTTGTCAAATTCTTGGAAAATTTATGTATATTTGGTTAGAGAAATACATGAGAGTGAGTAAGACTTGACATATAGATGCAGACACTCCCGGGAACAGATAAACACACACACATACATGTATAGAGAGAGAGAGAGAGAGTGTGAGGATGGCATTATATGTCCCACACTTTCATGCAATGCAAACAGATTTTTTATTTACAAATAAACCACCAAAATCGAAGTCACTAGCACAGTGCTAACTGATTCATTTCTGATAGTAATTGATACCATATGATAGGTTCGTCATGTGTTTATATTGTGTGTGGATGATGGGCTTTGGTGTTGCTTATTTTGATAACCTTTGGCAATGGAAAATTCAGTGAGATATTTGCAATGCATTGTAGGCGACATTAGAGTAAAAAAACAGTGATTATAAAAGCAGGAGGGAAGCCAACAACCGTTTTGTATGTTCAAGTGCAGGATTAAAGAATGTCTCAAATTAACATTACTGCCTAAAAGGAGTGGCTAAGTTTGCTGTGCCTCCAGTTCATTTTGTCTTTAGGTGGGCACCATGATATATGTATATAAAATTAGATGAAAACCTGTCCAATAGATAACTGAAAGTTACTCCTGACATTAACCATATGTTAAATTTTAATATTTTCTGCAAGAAGTAAAAAGTGTCTTGTTAATAACTCCCTTTTCTTTTGCCTATTAGATTTTATCGCATTACTCATTTACTCCTATATTTGAAGTCCTAGAAATGCAATGAAAGCAAAGCAATCAAAATCTCAGCCAAAGGTGTTAGTTTATAATATTTCTTTAAAAAAGTGTAAGAATAAGTTGAAATGTCAGGCCAGCCTATTGCATGACTGGGGAGGATTTTGCATGCATTTTATCTTACTAATTTAATCTCTAAGTTTGGTTTGGGAATGGTTTGTCTTATTAATTATAGAATGTGGGAATTTGCCAAAGTTTCTGAGAATTATTTGCAAGGCAAATAATTTAGCAGAACGAGAGATTTCTTGGTAAGCCAATTTCCACATTCATCTGGTAAACTGAGGTTCACATTTGACTTGCAGGGGGCTTCGTTGGCGATGGTAAGGTGAGTGTGATGGCTGACTCTCGACCACCACCACCACCACCCCAGGCCACCTCCATCACCAGCACCACTATCACCACCCCAACCACCACCACCACCACTGCTGCAGCTGCCGCACTGGCCACCTCTGTGCCTGCAGAGATAGTCCCAGTCAGGGACTTCAACGTGCCTCCACCCATTATCACTTCGCAGAACCAGCAGGGAGCTCCACAGGGAGGCCAGCAGATGTTCCATCAACCTTATCTGTCAGCTTCCCCTAACAATCCCCCAATATATAACCCACATATGCCCCCCCCTCCACACCCACAGCCTCCGCCTAATAACTTGTACACTCAAATTCCACCACCTACTGTTTTGCCACATGGAGCAACTGTCTATGTCGCTAACTGTCATGTCAACCTCTCCCCATATAATGGAGGGCAGGGGCAGGCACCTGTTATCACATCAAATGCTGGACCATCTCAGTCTCCTCCAGCTGCCCCAGTCATGCAGTCTGTGCCAGTCATGTCTGATCAGCCAGCTGTGCATGTGCCTCCTGTTGTCAAACCCATGCATGAGAATAAGCCAGAGTTTGAGAACAGGAGGTTTGACCAATTCAGAGGGGGCCACCGTGGGCGTGGACGTGGACGTGGACGTGGTAAGCGCAGCAACAGTGAGAGAAGCAACTCTGTCAGCAGTGACCACTCAGGGTATGGCAATGAGAAACACTACACAGATGGCATGGGACCCCCCCAGTATGGCCATGTGGCTGGACCCTATATGTACCCAAATATGCAGTACCCAATGCGTGGAGGCAATTATCCACATTACCCTAGTGTCCCAGCTGCACAAACTGTTCAAGGGGTACCACTTATGTACCAGCCTCAGCAGTATTCCCATTATGTACAGTATCAGGCTCCAAACCAGGGCCACATTATGCCCTACCAGCAGCAGACAATGCCTCCTGGCTCGCAACATCCCAGCACACTCCAGCACATGCACCATCAACTGCCACATCACCAATCTCCACACCAGCCCCCACAGCAACCTCCACATCATCATCAGCCTCCGCCGCCTCTGCAGCACCAGCAGCCTCCGCTTCATCATCATCAACAGCAGCAGCCGCATTACCCACAACATGAGGCACAGCAAGTTCATGTACCTCATCAGGATCAATTTCATGTACCAGCGCAGCCACAGCATCAGCAGCCTCCCCCTCCACAGTCACAGCCACCCCCCCCTCAACAGCCTCCTCCTGCAGTATTGGAGCCCCAGCAGCAGTCACCAGTAGCTCAACACACACAGCAGCAAGCAAACTACGAACCCCAGGAAGCTCCATTGCCAGTAGAAAGCCAAACCAATGGGCAGTTTGTGGCCGATTCTCAGGCTGCTGCTTCACAATTTGAAAATGATGGTTCAAGTGGTGTACAGCCAACAGATGGAACATCAGCTTCAGCAGAGATACCTATTGCTATAGCAGAAACAGATAAGTCTAATACCCTCATCACACAGACAGCTGCCTTGTCCTTAGAAGATCCTGTAGAACCAGTAATCACTAACATTCCTGCAGAACCTGAACAACCAGTTCCAGACATTCAGGAGAATATTCCTAATTCCACTCAACTGGTTTATGAGGAAAACCATGCTCCAGTCTCTCCCCCCATAGCCAAACCAGTCACAACCCCAGACATGAAGGAGGTTAAATCTCTCTCCAACAAGCCTCATTCTGCTCAGAATGGATTGGGTTCATCTGGTAAGCCCCCTGTGCATGAGCCTCAGATTCTTATCCCCAACTTCAATAAAGGGAAGCACATGCAGAAGCTGGCTGTTGACATTACTGGTAACCATACTACTTTGTCCGAGATAACCTTCATGTCGGATGAGATTCAACCTAATGTTGATCCTCAGGAGCCAGTGGAATTTGTGCCGGTTCCTAAAGCAGCCGTGATCATTCCACCTGCAGTCTCCCAGAGTGTTTCCCCAGTCAATGTTCCTTTTAAAGCTTCCCCTCCTTCAAGTGTGGAGCCTCCAGTCCCATCAGGAAACAAGAGCATTGCCTCCTCTTCGTGGGCAGCAAATGGTGGGACAGTGGTAATAGCTGGTGATGGTGGGGTGGTGCCACCCAGTACTCCATCAGTGGCCAGTCCTGCTCTTTCAGAAGTGAACAAGAAGGAGGCTGTGATGCCCGAGATGGCAGCCAGTGCCCAACCCGGCGGAGCTTGGGCTCAGAAGAAGAGCTGGTCCCAGTTGTTCAAGCCATCCGATGAAGGAGCTGCCAAGCAAGTGGCTTATGTTGCACCCTTCAACCAGGAGACAGAGAAGCTTCGGGAAGAGGCAACAGAGAAGGCCCCTGACCAGCCTGTGTCGGAAGTGGATCTGGATAAGGTCAAAATTGGAGGTAAGTCATCTATTATATGATATATTTCAGTTAATTGATTTATTATTTTTTATATCCTCTATTTTGTGCTTGTGAAATATTTAATAGGTTTATTAATTCATCTCAAAGAATTTTTGTTTAGAGAAAATAAAAATGTTAATGAGATGAATAATTTTTATGAATTAGTTTATTAGAAAGCCTTGTCAATTTTACCTTGATAAGGGATTAATGAAAGTACTGTACCTTCCATTTTCTTCCCCTTTTTTGTTTGTTACAAAAGGCATGCTGCGAGAGTACAACCAAGACCACCGCCAGGTTGCTCTTCAGCCTCGAGGACTGATCAACAAGGGATATTGGTGCTATGTTAATGCTCCTCTGCAAGCCCTGCTGGCCTGCCCTCCTTTCTATAATCTGATGAGAAATGTGCCCAACATTGCTGGGCTCAAGAAGGGCAAATCTTCAACACCAGTTCTGGATAGCATGTAAGTCTTCTAAAATTTCTTTAATCTTTTTTTTTTTTTTTTTTTACAATAGAAAGAAGAAGAGCTTAGAAACTATTTTAAATATATATTCATTGCTAACCATTTTCAGTGTGGAGTACGTAAATGAGTTTTCTGATATGGCTCCCATGCTGAGGACAAGCAAGAAGGACAAGAACAATTCCGCTGCACGCAAAGAACCAGAAATAGTCAATGGCCCACCATTTGAACCATCATATGTCTACAAGATGTTGGCCTCCTTGAGTGGGGAAATGTTTACTGAGGGTCGACAACAAGATGCTGAAGAGATGCTCTCTGTTGTCTTGAATGGCTTGCACGATGAGGTGAGAGGTTTAGGGGATCTATCTATATCTGACTTTTGTTGATAACTTTAGCAAAGATGTAAAGGAAATAAGTGGTAAAATATGGTAGAACAGACTGTCATGAGGGATGACAATGTTGTTTGCTTTGTCAATTTCCTCACAATAAAGATTGTTAATGGCTTGTGTCATGTTCTTCTTGAAAAGATGGTGGAAGCCTTGAAGCTGGTGAATGAGAATACTGCAGCCTCAGGCAGCAATTCTGTCAATGGCTCTGTAAATGGGGAAAATGTATCAGACAATGAAGAGATGTCAGATGATGATGAATGGCAGGTAAGAAATAAGATTACAGGTAACAAATATCTTACGTTTTTGATGTACAACTTTTATTATAACAGTAATTACAAGGTTACAGTAGTTACATGTGCAAAGAAGACCTAATATTTATATATAGTTTTGTACAGTTTATTCTCAAGTAATTGCAAAATCTTGTATGTTTATGAAATTCTAAAGTACTTTTAAAGGTGTTCTGATCATATTGATAAAGAAAATACCTCTTGCAGGTAATGGGCCCTCGCAAAAAGTGCTGCGTGACCCGAAGGGCACACTTCTCCCCAACCCCCATCAGTGCCATATTTTGGGGCCAGCTTAGATCAGTTCTTCACCAGGCAGGAGGCCAACCCACTGCTAACCTGCAACCTTTCACCACACTACCGCTAGATATTCAGGTGAGAAAACCTTCTTAGAATTTATATTAGTCATAGATTGATGATATATATTTTTGGTGGGGAAGGAGGCTCTTAACCCATTACCGCCGGTATATTTTGAAGCTGAATATAAAAGTTTCCGGTTGGCTACAAAATCGGCCAGCGGGCTGGCCCGGCCTGCTGCTGCGTCAGAGCTCAAGTCCCAATACAGCATTACATTGGCGGGATGCTTCTTTCTTTCTTTCTTTCTTTTTTTTTAGGGGGGGTCTCATATATGGGACACTCATTGTTACTGGGTTAATTTTAGCAATTTCTTTATTTGAGAGTTATCTGGTTTTAGTTTCTCTAGAAACTTTTGAAGTCAAAGCTTTTTATATGTGCAGTAACGTTATTATATTAAGGTTTGTTCCATACTAAATATTTTTTGAGAAGAATTCATTATCCTTACCATGTAGCTTTTTATTGTAATTTCTTTATCATATTTCCATTTGGCAAATGTTCATTTAGTGCAAGAATTACATGCTTTCCTACCAATTTTTTTTTTTTTTTTTTTTTTTTTTTTCTGATTGCTAATGGAAGTCTGATATTGTTTTTCATTAGTGAGCTTAACTTTTGGAAAGGTACAGCTTAATTTTTTTTACAGTCTCCCAAGGTTGAGAGTGTACGAGATGCTTTAGAGCAACTTGTGAGCCGCGAGGAGATCCCAGACTTTACATGCTCAAAGACGAACCAGGAAGTAACAGTGTGCAAACAGGTAAGAGAATTGTCTCAGGGAATGGAAGGAATGTTTGTATTTAAAAGATATAAAATGATTTGATGTGTCATTAGATGGTCATTGATTTATTTAATTGTATAAATATGTGATTTATTTTTTGTGAGTTAACACATGGATAGTGGAGGAAGACTGATGTAAACATACTTCAAATTTTATGACATAGTATTGGGTTAGATATGGGTGGATAATACTAGCTGTGGAACATGAAGGGAGGAAATGACCATGTGAGTAACTGCTGCTGGGAGTGTTCCCTATTAACCCCCTTGGATCCAGGTGCCTCATGGCCCACTCATGGACAAAAATATCGGCATTAAGCATACTTGAGTAGTCACTCCTGGGTGTGTGGCTAGCTGGTCCAGACCACTCAGACGCGTGTAGTATCAAGAATCCTTGCCTCCCCTTTGCAATGTTATCCTCTTTTTCTGCATTATCATTTTTTACAATTTTTCAAGGGCCATATTTGTCATTTGTTAGGATGTATCAAGATGGTAATGGACTGTTTTCATTCAGTAGACTCCATATTATCTCAAGTTAGTTTGCAACTTAACATACCCTGAAATTCCCAACCTGTAATCGTAAGGAATTCATCGTAGAGGGATTAACCCACTGGTGGTGGGGATGACATGCACATACATGCCAAATTGCCTATTGTGTGTCTAGTATATTGATTTTATGTATACATACTTGGCTCGACAAGTTCTCATTCACAAAGGAGTCAGTCACTAGTCAGATTTATTTCACCTATTTACTCTCTTGATTTCTTCTTCTAAATAGCTGTTAGTATAGTTAATAAAATAATGATTAATAATGATACTAACAGTATTGAGATTATTTCTATTGACCAAGTGACAGGAAATCATGTGAGGTCACAAAGACTACTGATTGACTCCTTGGTGGGTGAGCACTTATGGAGCCATTTATTATGTGTACAGACATTTTACAAAACGAAACTGCTGTGAGTATTACAAGTTCTTGTCAGTATTGGGTTGAGTATGTGGACCTAATGCTGATGGGAAAATGTGTCCACTTAGGTGTTATTTTACTAAATGTTTCTGTACATAAATGGCTCTGCCATTGCTTATCCATAAAGGAGTCAGTTAGTAGATCTTGTGACCTACCTTTCCTTAAAGTAATGGGAAAATGCTTTGTTACTAATACTATCAATATTAACACTTATTTTTATTATAAACATTAAAATTACTCTTTTATTATTGACATTACTAACAGCAGTGTTAAATACTAGAAAATCAAGGAAAAGGGTAAACAAGTGAGACCGGTAGTTCTCGTAATTAGTTTATTGGTGACTTAGTACTTGTGGAGCCGTCTAAATGTAAAGAGAGATAGTAAATTAAACACACAGTGGGCATGGCATGTATGCACATGCCATCCCTGGTGGCAAGTGGTTAATAGTTTCATAGTCATGAAATGTTTCTGACTTTCCAGTAAAATTTGTCTCATACTCAAGATATAAGTGAAATGCCAAGCAAACACAGTGCTGCAGGGGCTTTCATATTAAAAGGAAATAAATTATTTTTTATTTTTTGATACTCGGGCCTAATTTTGTAATTATATGTATGATTATATTGTATGTATTAAACCATATATAGTATGTTAATTTAAAAGATTGATTAAAGCAAAATGTCTAAATACCTTAGGTATTTCTGGAGCACCTCCCCCCAATCCTAATTCTGCAACTCAAGCGGTTCATCTATGACAAGGATGGCGGCCTGCAGAAGATTATGAAGAAGGTCAACTTCCCCATAGACTTAGAAATAACCAAAGGTAAGATCAAATTGGGTATTTGAAAGAGTTGTGTATAAATAGCCTTGAATTAAAATTTTTGGTGAACAAAGTTTGCAAGGATTATTTATGGAAGTAAAATTAGATATACATAGCAGGAGGACAAGGTTTATGTAAACTCCGAACTGATTTGTGGTAGGGAGGATTAAGCTTGAAGTTTTCATGATGATTATGATGAATAATGGTTTAGGGTTTGATGTGACAGGCTTTTGTGACTTAACTCAAATTACAGCTGTGTTTGTTGTGTTCCTAAATTACCCCTGGCAGTGTGGGATTTGAATGTGGATCTGCAAGATAGCTAGTCAAGAACACTACCACTGAACGACACAGCACTCAGTGATAGCTAATAGAAACTCTGTTTTCAGAATTGATGTCAACCAACAGTAGAGGGAAATACTCGGCTCAGCAGAAGAAGTACAAGCTCCTGGCTGTTGTATACCATGATGGGAAGGAAGCCACTAAAGGTCACTACATCGCAGATATATATCATGGAGGTTACACCTGCTGGTTGAGGTATGATGACAGTTGTGTGAAAGCTGTTCCAGAGGCCAATGTCCTTCGCCATGCCGCACCCAGGGTGCCCTATCTCCTATTCTACCGTCGTGGAGACACCATGACAAGGCCATCAACGAAAACCAAATCTTGAGGACCTTGCTGAACATCAAGAGGCCAGGACTCACAGATTCCTCTCATGGGAAAGAAGCCCTTCATCCTGAGGTCTATTGTGTGCTCAGATCAACCATCATGGGAAGGGAGAATATGGTTACCTGGCCCCACCTATCCTTGGTATGTTCTGTTCTAGCAGTGCCTGGGTTGCTGGAAAGGCATCGAATTACAGCAACACATGCAAGAACACCAAGAGTAGCCAGCAACATGAAGTTAACAAGTGTCCATAATCTGCTTAACCGTTTGTACCCAAGGAATGTTGAATACTCATGATAATGACACTAATTTGTGTTAATGGAAATTTAAACATTTGAGGATTAGTTATTTGCGTCAAGTTTGTTATAAACAATATATCTCTCTATAGTTAGTTTCACCAGACAAGACATAGTAATAGGTGTTTGTTGATGAACATCTCAAAGATAGATGATTGAACTAGAAGGAAGACTAATTGAAAAAAAAAAAAATTGTGTGTGCAACGATGGTAACACCAAATGGAAGAATGGAACTTTTTTGTGAGCGGTTTTGTAATAGCCAGGGAGAGTCAGAGCTATTTACAAATGACAATTGACTCCAAGTGAAAGAGGTGTCAAGGGGTTTATCCTCCTTGTAGGCTTCCATTTTTCGTTTGGATGGAGAGTGGAAAGTGGTGTGATTTGATTTAGAGAATTACAAACCAATTGTTGACCAAAAAATAAAGATAAAAAAATAAAATAAAAAAATTAAAAAAAAAATAATGAAAAAAGAAAAAAAAATGTGATGACAGTGGTCATGAGTTACACTGTCCATTTGTGTGCTTGTATGTCATTGTGATTGGGTCTCTAGGTATATTGTTGCAAATTTTCAACTTCAACTCTGGGTTACTGTTAATGACACATGCGTGTCTTTAAAAGTGTTCAGATATGACCCACTTTGAAACAATATGTACTGAATTATATGCTATCAGTGTGGCAGATATGTATTGTACATCTGTCAAATTAATCTAGCTCTAAAGAAAAAAGAAAGATGTGTACTATTATAATTTTTGAAAAGAAACTGTGGCCTAAAAATAGGAAGCAAAATATTGGTAATTTACATATTTTCTTGTTATGCATATATGAAGAAATTAAATCATAGGAAGATAACTCTCACAACTACTGTGTTTAATGTTATTTCTTTGTTTATTATTATTCATGTTATTCTAGTTAGAAAAAAGCATTTAATAACACTCAAGAGTGTAAAGAAATATCAGAAAATGTTTGTAAGCCTTTGAAACTGAACAACAATTATTGTTGTAAGCCTTTGATACTGAACAACAATTATTGTTGAATGCAATAGCTAACCATAGCTATATTTATAAAAATTTATTATGAAAATTCATGGTTCTCAATATCTATACATCAATACATGTTTTATGAATTTCAAGGGTTTGGTTATTTTTCACTGCATTGTCAGTATTTGATTGAAAGCAGATTTAGAATGGTTATTTGAAGTATTATTTAGAAGCTTCCAGACCAGTTAAACAAACTCTTCGTTTGAAAGTGTTTCAAGCGAAGGTAAGGAAAACCTTTTAGTGTTTGAAAGGGATCCCTGAACTCTTCCAAGTCTTGTCGCTTGGACCAGATCGTAAAAGGTGCCATATGGGCACAGGCCAAGTACGGCCACCCAGATGGCACAACGCCTTCATATTATGTAGAGAGAGAGAGGGAGAAGCTTATATTACTGTCCCTTTTCCCTCCAGAACTTGCTAAGTGGCTGCCACATGTCTTATCATGCTGCCCAAGTCTAGTAACAGTTCTCACCTTTTGGCTTCATGTCTGCTCTCAAGAGTCTACAATGGAACCAGATGTCAAGGAGGTCATACTTTTGTGTTTAGTCACATTGACAAGGATTTTTTCCTCCTGTGACTACTTTTCCCTCCCCCCTCTTGCTCTCTTTTCTTTTGTCCCACGCAATGTATTTGCCACTTCAGCAGAGGGGGGTAAAGCCGTAAAGATGGGTGGGGTTAGGGCTGTGCTGTCTGGGGAAAATTATCATTATTACTTATTGTTTATTTTTTTAGTTTTTACACTGATTGGCTGTTCAATACAAACTAGTCAAAGAAAGAAAGAAAAAAAGTAAATAAACAGAAATGTCTCCTAGGTGTAGACAAGATTCTCAAATTAGAATATGTAATGGTATGTAGCCTAATGCTGTAGCTAAGCTTACTATTATCTCCGAGAGGAAAATAGAATCAAAATTTTTAGGATGATAAAAAAAAAAACAGAAAACACTTGAAGCAAAAGGAAACAGTAGGAGCAGTAATCATAAATATTCAAGGTTTGTTTTAGACCAAAGCTACTTATTACATTTTCTAGAAAACTTTATTTACTGAATAACTTTAGTGTTACATTTTGTTTGAAACGATGTTTACTCATCCCGTTTCATTAACGCCTAGGAATTTTCCTCTTTAACATAGGTTGCATTTTATTTTTGTTTGTATTTTATATATTATTTATTTTTGGGTTTTAACCTTTTTTTATATACATTTTAAGTTATGATTAGGAGACATTCGATTGCAGAACTCTGATAATGCAAATAGAAAATTGTATTGTATTGTATTGTTATTATTACTACTACTACTACTACTACTACTACTCTTTTTATTGATATTTTTATTTATTTTTTCATTATTATTTTAGCATTATCATTGGCACTTCATATTCATCTTTTTTATACTTTTTTTTAAAGTCTGACTTAATTTTTAAGCCAGTATCCCTTGAGTGTTTCATCATTTTGGCCAAAGTTGCTAGTAGTGTTTGTCTGTTGTGTTCTAAGGGTCCTTCTTTTTTATGTAGAAAAGAGAGAGAAAAAAACCTTGAAGTGAAGATTGTGTTGAGCCAAACCTGAACCTATTCCCATTTTATGAAGCCTGAAGCGATAGTGTTTTTGTAGACAGTGTAGATATCCTGTATGCTTAATGGAGTGTAGAGCATCACCATTTTGAGAAGTTATTGCAAGTGAATGATGACGGTGATGGAGCGTAAGCTTGGCAAAATATGATGTAAAAGATAACAGCTTGGAGGGAATTTCACCCGTTTGATCTCGTTTTAGAGTGTGTGATGGGGCTTGATGTGGTTCTTTGTGATTTATGGGAGTCTGGCCTCATGTTCTTTCGTTCTGTTTCTGTTCTGTTACTTTTTGTTTATAGATACCTTATAACTTAGCAAAATGTGTGTATTTACAGATCTCACACATTACCTATCATAGTACACATTACAATCCACATCATACTGTGCACATCACCCCACACACATCTCCCCACACATACACTTACTTATATACATTGTGTATATATGTGTATGTGCATTTTTGTTTTCTTTAAGTGGTTACACCTTTTACTTGTTTTAATTTCTTTCTCTACCTAATGGTTCTCATGCAGCAAGCTTGAGATACAGTTTGGCTAGAACCTTGTGTCTCAAGCAGTGGCCTTAACTGGCTGTGTGGTTCTGAAGATTGCTTTGCATCACATGTAAGGAACTGCTTGTATATACAATAAATTGGCACTCCTAGGTGTGCTTAAGTCCACTGCTATCTGTACTTTTGTCTTTAACAAAGAGTCAAATTGAGCAATCTCTCGCTTTTTTTCTTCCTTCGGAAATGGTCAATGTTTTCTCGGTATCAGATGTACATTGTTTAGGCTGAGAGGCACATAAGATCATAGAATACAATTCCCAGAGATGATCATCTCTTTACTTTCCAAGTCTTGATCAACCTTCACTAGTTTAGTCAGTGAGCAGCAGCAGATTATCTTGATCGGAAATGCTTTTCTCTCCAGAGTAAACATGCCTTAACCACTCATACTATTGAAAAGCATCTATCAGCTCAAGGGAGTTACTGCAATTGACATCTATAGAGTACATTGAAAGTCTCAACTTAAAGATAAATGGATTGGCTAATATTATGTGATATCAAGTTTCTGTTCAAGACACTTATCCTGTTGTAAGATAGCATCTACACTACTGTGGTTCTCCTGTGATGTCAGCAGGCTTGCAATCTTTTTGCATTTCCATTTTAGTGATTTACTATCTTTGATTTTTTATTATACATTTTTATTTATTATATCTTTAATTTTAGTTAGTTCATCATTGGTTTACATGTTTTATCCACCTGTTCCTTTTCTTTCATCCTGTATTAGGAGAGGTCCTGCATCTTCCAACTATTTGTATTTGCTCAGAGGTGTGGCTGCCGAGTATATGTAAATTGTCACACAAGTAAAACTTAGGTTATTTTAATCTGTTCTTTTTATATTTTTCCTTCAGCCTCTTCATGTACTTTAATGCTTTATAATTCAGGAGCTTGTAGGGATTAAAAGCTTGAATTAAAACTTTAAATGTTCATATGCACTGAAAAAGGGAAATTATGGTTAGATAATGTACAACTATATTTTCAATATAATCTCTGTTGACTCATGTAGACCATTACTGCTCAAAGATATATTAATTTATTTTTATTCCAGATTGTGATGAAAACAACACATTCAGATAATGTAAAATGATTTGAAAGGGGAATTTTACAGTATTTTACTTTTACGAGATGGAAATTATTTTAAAAATGGGATACAACTAAAAAATAAAATGGCAGTTCCAAAGCACGCAGTGAAAGTGCTGTAAGAGCCAGCAAGAGCCAGCTGGGTAATACTAAACTCCAAAACAATAACAAAATGATTCTTTGCAGTTACTCCCATACTGTGAATTCTGTAAATGTAATGTGTGCCTATTTGTCTGTGTCAGTAATCAGTATTGATGCCATCTAAACTTAGACTATTAGTATTTTTGTTTTTGTGTTATATTTTTTTATTTATTATTTTTTCCAAGGTATATTATTTCTTCCCTTATATATATATATATATATATATATATATATATATATATATATATATATATATATATATATATATATATATACATATGGTTCTAGGATTTCACTTTAGTCATTCAGCATAGGGTGTAACAGACCCTAGGATGTGTATGGATGAACTGGAAGATTCATGGAATGAAGTGCTGCTTAAATGCTTCATAGATGAAAAGTATAAAAAGTAAAAGAAGGGACTTGTAGGGACCACAAAGCAGCAGTGCAAGTTGTTTTATTAAGTGAATATATCATTTTTGTTGAGCAAAAATGATTCATAGTGAATGCAATGGAAAGGCAGAGGGAGTGCTATTCATAGGTTGACAATTTTTTAGTTTTTTTTTTTTTTTTTATTGTTGGCACACATGAATTAAAAAGTGTTTCAGATTATATTTAAAAGCTTTTTATCGTCTTTATTTGTTTCATTGCTGTATACTGGTGAGCTTTAATGCATTTTGAATGTGTGGCTTCTGTATACTTTTTGCTTGCAGAATAGTGGAAATGTGAGTTTAGGTGGCATCTTCGGAAGACATAGGTTGGAGATTTCTGATATTTTTATTTTTTCTATTTTGAATTTTTAAAGAGACGGGAATAATTTTGAAAGTTCTTGGTGCCTGATGCTAATATACCAGAAGTGCAGAGATACTGTGGTAGTTTTATCTATCTATCTATATATATATATATATATATATATATATATATATATATATATATATATATATATATATATATGTATATGTATATCATCTTTGTGGCACAGAAAATTGTATTTGCCCAAGTGTGTGCCGAAGAGGGTCAACTTCATACAGGGCACTTTTTTAAGTATTAGCAACATTACTCTGACTTGATCTATGTAGCTGTAGATGTTCCCCCTGATTTCCTCTATTATTAGTCAGGTACATATCCTGGATAAAGCCTTCGTTTGCCCTCATTGTGGTGTAGGCACTTGGTTACTAAAGTGTTTGCTGACGGTCAGAGTGCTAGACTTCTGATTGGGCTCTTTGCTAAGCCAGTCAGCAGCTTAAGTGCCTAAGAAGTGTGTCTAGCTCTTAATTAACAATGAACACACCAAGTTGATGGCAGCATGTGGCTGCTTCTTGGGAGCACGTGGCCACTCAGTCTGGGCTCTATGCTCACAAGTCGGTTAGGGTGATCATGTGCCACGTCGTGAGTATTGTGAGTATGAGTTGCAATGCTGCAAATGGAGTGTAATTTGAGTGAATGGATGGATGTAGAGGGAGTCAGTCTGTGTTTCAGTTTGATGATGCTGAAGTTTGTGAAAGAGCATGAATTAGGAATGGACTGAACTCTTAGTTCTGAATGCAGGCGAGATGGTTACAGTAGACTTCACAGTAGCAAGAGCAGGATAATTTTTTCATGTACTTTTTATTTATTAATTGTTATTTCATCAGCTGTTGATGATTCTAAGAAAGGGCACGATTTTTTATTTATTTTTCTAGAGACCAACATTTAGTCTTTACCATTTTATCAGGTCCATGAGATAGACGCTCATCCTCATGTTCATAGACTGAATCCTTTAGATATAAATTAGTAGAGTTGTCCATTGTTCAGGCCACCATAACCATATTTGTCCATCATACTACAATATTATTATCATCAGCCTGAGGTTTAATCATCTACAAGGAAGTAAACGATATATACATACATACATACACATATATATATATATATATATGACTGGTAGTTCCTGTATTCTGCTCTTGAGAACTGTGAAGCCCAGATTTATTTTTACTGAGTGAGATTTTATATACAAGAGTTTCAAGTGTTAAAAGTAACATGTCTTGCACTGAAGATCACAGACTGTTCTCAGCAAAGGTGTTCTTTTTGGAGTTAAGGACAATAGGGTTTAATGCACAGTGGTGGTAAGTTTTATTGCAAATATAAAAAATATTATTGCAGTGTAAGTCATATAAAGACTGGTGTAAAGACATTAGATATAAATCATATTCAGTATTCATTACTAGTTGAGAGGTCAGTGCAGCAGTAAATATGAGAAATAAGACATTAACCAAAAATGTGATAAAATTTAAAACTACTTTTGCTCAACATTACTAGATGTTGTATGGACCTACCGTGCATACATAATAGTTTACAGGAGTTTCATTCCATTTTTACCTGTATTCTAACAGTTGCTAAAGAATTGACATGTATATCATAAAATAAATTTTTTTGAGGCAACAAGAAATTGAGATCTTTCTTAATATTGTGGTCTATTACATATACGTTTATGCATTGAAATAATCTTAAAATAGAAGGATAAACTTGAAATTTGAATAGATAGGCACAGATTTTACAATACCTACTGAATTCTTAGTTTTCTTAAATTGTTAAAAGTTCATCAAAAGATACAAAACAACGAGCGCAGGTTTGCTATTTAACATCTGGTAGCCCTATTCTTATTTTACTGTGATTTGAAAGTTCCAACATAAGCATCTTTGATGAGAAGTTTGAAGTGCCCAGGCATTCAACTGTAAAACATGTATTTGTATGAGAATTAGAGATATTGTACTGTATATATTATCTGTTGAAACAATAAAGGAAGCCTAAAGTTAATTTTTGTTTCATTTTTTGTCCTTCATAGGACCAACTTGGTTACTCATCTCAAAATATAAATGAAAAGTACTTACTACGTTGACATTGCTTATCAAGTCCCTCTCCTCTCCACTCTTACTTTGCTCTCCTCCTCCTCTGCTATTCCTCTCCTCTCCTCTCCCCCGCTTTTCCAACTCATTTCTTTTTCTCTCCCTCTCCCCCTCAATCCCTTGCCCATTGTTGCCATGGGGTGGGCATAGGGGACTCCCCTGCCTTGGGCCTCAGCCCTCGACTCGACTAATTTTGCATGGTCTTTTCTCCCTCCAGCTCTTTCGTTTCCGTCCCTTCTCCAACCCCTTCTCCTATCTACTTCCTAATGTGTAAGAGCTGTGCTGAAAGGATGAAAGGCTGACTTTGTGCCAGTCCTGAACGTCCTGAGGGAACCATGGGCACGGTATTCCCCTGTTTTAGTTGTCTAGCCCTTACCCCTCAAGGGGACCCTGAGGGGTGGACGGTTTATTTCCTCAACATAGTCAACATACAACCTTATTCTCAATATCTCCGTAATACTACCCCGTCAACAATACTCCTTTCACACGTCCCCGTCCTTCTACCACTCCCAACTACAAATATTTTAAATTCTCCATTTAGCCCAGCTAAATGGGACTGATTTTTCTTGACCCCCCCCTTACAGCTCCTTACTCAGGCAACACTTTTTTCTTTCAACAATGCCTCCAAAAACAAATGGGAAGAGTCCCTTTCCGTACCCGACCCGATCGTTCCCGTCTCGTTACAGTTACATCAGAAACTGAAGCTATAACATTATCAAATCTGATTTCTCTGGCAACCCCATTCCTGCAGAACCTCATCCAACACTTAATACTTGTACCGGAACTGTCTCGGTCTCCCCAGCAAACTGCCCTATGGATATCGATTGGTCACATTGTGGAGAATACTTACTCGCCTGCCTCAAAGACCGGGATGTGATATCAGTACAGTGCTACTCCTTTCCTCCAGGAGGTCATCGAAAGAACCCCACTAACATTGCCAAAATTACTTTTCGTACACATGACCTTCCCTGTCATATCTACATTGGTGGACAAGCCCTCCCTGTTCGACCATACCAGCCTCCTTCTCGTCAATGTCAACACTTGGCGTTTGGGACATCTTGCCAAACACTGCCGTTCCATAAACCGATGGCCCCTATGTGCCCAACCCGGTCATGACAGATCAAACTGACCTGCACAAACACGCACATGTGCTAACTGCGGCGGCCCCCATAATGCATTTTATAGAGGCTGTCCCACCTACAAGTTTGAGTCTGAGGAGGCAACTCTTAGGTACAAACTTGGTCTCACTCTGCGTGAAGCCAGACGAAACACGTCGACGAGGTTTCTCTCATACTCCCTACTCCAGTAATGTCGCTCGCTCTGCCCCTCCCCCCCCCTTCCAAAGATGTCCCTACACTCTCTCCTATACCTACGTACCCGCTTCAACTTCAAATTCTTTCGCCACTCTAAATCCAAACACTCCAATCTCAACTACAGCTCCAACACCTTCCCTCTCCCCCTAAACCGTAGCTGACAGACGAAATGTTCCACCCCTTCTTTTCCTACCACACACTCATCCCCACCTACCTATGCCTTTACTCCTCAGACACCAATCTCCTCTGCCCCCCCCCTAAGAACCTTTGTCTCACAAAACTATCCAACCAACTTCATTGCAGAAACTATGGAAGATATCCAAAGCTATATGCTCGAGACACAAAATGACACCGAAACCCCTCACCCACCCTCAAATTCCACAACTCCCACTCCCTCCACACTCCAAATGACTGCTGATATCCATTCTCCTGCTCATATTCCTCTTAGACCCCTTCCTCCTACTCCCTCCCAACACAACCCATCCCCCTCAGCTCTAACTACACCTACATTAACCCTCCCTTCATCCCCTCTATCCCTTCCACTCGCTCCTGGATACAAACGTGAATCCCTTACGTCACAACTATGCCCTTTCCTAGATTCTCCACTTCCTGACACCCTTCCTGAGTCTACACCTCCTCCCTCTAATCCCTTATTTCACACACTAGCTCCTAGCATAATTTTTGCACCCATTACCTTTTCTATTGCAGCATAATTTGCATCATCCCACCGCTGCCACCAGTTATACGAGCCTCCGTTTTTAAGCCTAAGGCGACGATGTTAGAATGCTTGGATTTTGTATCCAATTTCCATTTTTATTGGATCATAACTCGCTCACTCTTTCTTTTCTCCACTTCCCCCTCTTTCTCTCATTCTCTTACCCAATCTCTTTCTGAACAATTTATCTCTATCCGATCTCTCTCTCTGTCACCCTCTCCCCAATTTCCCTTTCTTCAATCCTTCTCTCTCTCTCTCTCTCTCTCTCTCTCTCTCTCTATCTATATATATATATATTATATATATATATATATATATATATATATATATATATATATATATTATATATAATATATATATAATATATCATACACGCGGCGGCTGCCCTCGCTAGGACTTGCTGATCGCATGCATCACCCAGCGCTGTCGTCTCGTATCGTGTTCTATTTAACTCGTGTGTTAACTCTTAAGAATAAAGAGTCAGCCGTATCTGTTTATTAGTCTGCCCCATTTGTATCAATGTAGGGGGTTCTTAACATCTTATACTCTCTCTCGCTCTTTTCTCTCCTCTCTCTTCCTGTAACTCACACTCTCTAACTCTCTCTCTTCTCTCTCTCTCTCATCCACTCTCTCTCTCTCTTCTCTCCCCTCTCTCTCTCTCACCCTTTCTCTTTCTTCTCCCCTTTTTCTCCCCTTTCTCTTCTCTTTTTCTCTCTATCTCCCTGTGCTCCTTTCTCAATCTTCCTATTTCTCTCTATCTCCATCCCCCATCTCTCTCTTTTTCTTCTTCCCTTAACCCTCTCTCCCTCCTCTCTCTTCTCTCCTTCCTCCCCCTTCCTCTCTTCTCCGTCCCTTCCTCTTCTCTCTCTCTCTCTCTCTCTTCTCTCTCTCGTTCTCTCTCTCTCTCTCTCTCTCTCTCTCTCGTCTCTCTCTCTTCTCTCTCTCTCTCTCTCCTCTCTCTCTCTCTCTCTCTCTCTCTTCTCTCTCCTCTCTCTTCTCTCTCTCTCTCTCTCTTCTCTCTCTCTCTCTCTCCTCTCTACTCTCGTCTCTCTCTCTCTCTCACTCTCTCTCTCTCTCTCTCTCTCTCTCACTCTCTCTCTGGAGAAAGCTGAGGAGAGAAAAGAAAAACAATTGGGAATGAGGCGAAGGTGAAAGAGAGAATGGAATAAGAAGTGACAATGAGAGAGAGAGAGAGAGAGAGAGAGAGAGAGAGAGAGAGAGAGAGAGAGAGAGAGAGAGGAGAGAGAGAGAGAGAGAGAGAGAGAGGAGAGAGAGAGAGAGAGAGAGAGAGACAAGAGAGAAAAAAACAAAGAGAAGATAGATAGATAGAAGAGAGAGAGAGAGAGAGAGAGAGAGAGAGAGAGAGAGAGAGAGAGAGAGAGAGAGAGAGAGAGAGAGAGAGAGAGAAAGATGAAAGAAAGAGAAAGAAAAAGAGAGGTAGAGAGGGGGAGGGCGTGTGAGGGGAAGAGAAAACGAGAAAATAGACAAAGGTCAGAGAGAGCGAGAGAGAAAGTGCAGTTTTAAGTGACCCACTAAAGGGTAAACAGCAGTGCAGCTTAAGGAATTTCCATAATTTCTTAGCCTGTGTATATCAAAGAAGAGAATAAAATCCCGATAAAGTTTCCCCGAAATTAGTAAGTTCCTTTTTTTTTTCTTTACATCAGTGTATATCACCTTTGGTATTATGTGAAATATCACTAGAAAACCGACCATATACATTTGTTTCGTGACATTGAAATGGTCATTTACCTTTGATAGTGAAATGTAAAAAATACCGGTGGATTGAGATTGGAATTATTTCATTTTCTTCATTTTTCACTTTTGCTGACCATTCACTTTTATTAGATTATGAAGATATGGCCATGCAAGAATGGTAGATGAATAAATTATCTATCACAACCGACTTATTTAAGATTTTTATATATTTTTAATTTTTACTGTATACACCAAAGGCACTATTGTGATGTATATTCTTTGAACTATATGAAGAGTGGATAACATGTAAACTCTCACGTTCTGAGTGTAAAAGGCAACTAATGTGAGTGCCAGACTAGACAATGATTAGATAAATTGATTTTTTTTTTTTTTTTTTTCGTTGAAAACTCCGTTGGCGCCACGTGTGTGGAGAGAAATTATGACACATATAGATAAAACAATTTACATGCGAATAATTTATATTTCCTATCCACAGTGGAATAATATGTAAAATGTTATACTTTAATAGTATAAACAAAAGAGGTCTATTTTACATATTTTATATTCCTTTCTAGAAGCCTCAGTTCCCGGGCGAATTGAATGAGATTTAATTTCACCCTAAATATATGAAAAAACAAACCTTCAAAGATAATGAACTGAATAATTATTATAATGATAATCCCCAAAATAAAAAAAATGTAATGTGCCAAAATCACATCGTTGGCATCTCCGTTTGTTTCGCGGGCGCTGATTGGTCCAGTGTGGAACCTCTCGACCAATGGGAATCGAGCTTGGATCATCTGCCACGCGCAGCTGTGCAAAACAAACAAGAATTATAGTCAAAGTAGTCAGTTACCTGTTGATTTCTGTCTTTTTCTCTTATTCCCAAGTCCGCACTCGCTGACGCACGACCTGCCATCAGAAATACGACAAGTGAGAGTGGCTGTAACACGTGCGCAGAAGGAGAGACAAGGAACCTGGAGATAAAAGAGGGAAAATCGCTGAAAACTGCGAGGTGACGGCGACCGTCAGCTGGAGGACGAGTTCTTCCTCTTCCTTCAAGTCAGCAAAAAGTCTAGCAAAATTTCTGGTTAAAGCCCTACGCGGAAGGCCACGATGACCAGCTACATCAAGGGGATTTACAGCTACGTCAGACCGGTAATTATGAAGGACATGAACTGGGATTTAAAATGTGATTGCAGAAAAGGGGATTTAATGGGTTTAAATGGAGGACGTAAATTGTGCGAGAGGTTTATTAATCACGTATTTTGCATTGGGAAGAATGACAACTTGTTATGCACTCGTGTCTGTATGGAAACACGATGGATATTTATTATCAGAGTGTGTGAGGATGTTGAAAGTACTGAATCGTGTGTTGATTATGCTGTCTGGTCGTGAATGTTTAATTGGTGGTTATTGTCACGAAGCCATATTCATTGTTGAGTTTGCTGTCCAGCTGTGCAGATTTGCTAAAATATTGTCTAGGGTGATAGTTTCACTTGGAGTTTATATTGTATGGCTTTCACTCTAAATATTTCTATGAATATAAAACTTTATTATGGTAATATTCATTTTGCAGGAGGTATACTGCTGTAGATGGTGCATATGATTTAAGAATTTGATTTCTGTATTTTATATCGGCATTCTTAAGTTTGATTATATTATTTTTTGGGTATAGAAGGACCTTATTTTGTTCTTGATTTTATGAAAGGTTGAATAGCTATCCTTCTCAAGATATGCCCCAGATGTATTCAGAAAATTGTGCTCATTGTGTTCCTTTGCTATTTCTCGTTTGAAAATCAATACGTCTCCATGCTCCTGGATCAGAAATACACACTTCAGTATCTAGAAGAGGAAAAGTATAAATTAAAGCGATGCCCATTATCTAGAGGTAATAAAAGCATGGCCACATTATGTTTGACATTGTGAGGCAGATTTAGAAAGAGAGGGAGTATGTGACAGTGTTGAAGAGGTTGTAAAGTGGACCTGACCTTGTGTGCAGTGATAGTATTAACTGACCTTCATCGAAAAGGTCACGGGTTCAGGATTTGAAAGTGAGCTTTATGGTCCTTTCTTTTATGGCTTAGGTTGGTAATTTTTTCTTTTTCTATAGGCCTATGTAGTGTGCTTGTATAACTATTGATTATGATATTACTGGTTATTATTGATGTCCTGTCATTAAATGGAGAATAAGAACAAATTCTGATTGAATATCCACACTCACAAGCTTGTTCAGTTTAACCTGTATAATTCATCATTATTATAACAAGTGCAGTATACAAAATATTCATTTGTAAAGTATTCGTTATACTGACTTCCGTATGGCTAGGAAAAGAAGAAAATATGGGAAACTATTTTTCTCTCACTGTTTATGAAACATGTGGACTCCATGAGCACATGTGTGGTGCAAGTGTTGGGGCCAAAACATTTGCTCATTTGTTACACCCTAAACTGAATTAGACAGCTGTGAGGGTCAGCCATGGACACTTGCTTTGGAGTGTCTAATGTAAATTGATGCTATATTTATATTGTTGGTAAGAGAAGTGTCCACCCAAACAAGATGGAAATTGGGCTAGATTAATTGCTGTCTATTGTTGAGTGTTTTTCGAGAGATGGATTCGGCTTTGTGATCTGTGATTCTGATTTTACAGATACAGGATAGATATGTATATCTAGAATATCTTGGCAAAAATGACAAGATTTAAGTTTTTCGTATTTTGTATTAAGCAATTACCTCAGATGTATTATTTTGTTAAAGGAAATGGAAAGTATTTGTGATAACTTAAACTGTTCTATAACTATTCCTTATACTTTTCAGTCAAGTTACTTATATTTATTTATGCAGCACCAGCTACTATTTCATACCTGAATAACAGTAACTTGTGCATAAGAATCAAACATATGATTTGAGATGAAAGATATGTAAATAAGAATGAAAACTTTGTTTCATGCAGTAGTTATGGAAGAATCTCTTCACCTTAATACTTTTTCAACACTTGTTTCACTGAAATTTGTTCAGATAAGATACAACAAGAACAAGTGTGTGTTTAAGTTTTTGATTTCTTCAAGAAATATTTTCTTAAGGAATTTTAATGCATGTTACACAGAAGTTGTCTTGACCAAAATTGTATATATTACTTTTTATAATATTGTCTGGTTGGGTGACTGTTTGCAAATGCTGTGACAAAGAAAAGATGTATCAAGTGCAAATATCTTGGGTAAAAGGAAGTACAATTTTGGTTTGAGAAACTGGAATGCTAAATTGAAATTGTTTTTGGCCAGATTAGATTACCTTAGATGCTGTTAAAAGGGGGTCTAGTTTGCTTTGAAATATAGTGGATGGTACCATTTTCCTTTCCATTGTGGTGGTGTTTCAGCCTATAGCAGTGTCATCTCATGGTCGTAGTGTGTGCAAGATGGTAATCATTTGTCTCATTCCAGGGTAGTGAAACTGCAGCGCCAGCCACATCCAGCCCTGCCACAAGCCCTACGCAGAGTCTACCCCCGACACCCACGGAGACTAAACCGGAGCAGCAGCCAGGCTATCTGAAATGGGCTGTATCTGGAGTGGCATCGGGCATCTATAACGTAGGTGAGTATAAGAAGGGATTAGAAGCTCTGTTTTGCTTTGCATTCTTGCCTCTTCTTCCTCTACCCCTTCTTCCTCATCCAGTCTCTCTTCTCTTTCAAATTTGAGTAGGCTTGCTTATTATTTTGGTTAATCTTATGGTATGGACGCACTAAGTTCGGGCAAATTGAAGATGATATTCTTGTAGAGGACAAAAAGTAATAGTGATTGGTACAAGAAATAATCTGGAGACATGAATGGTAACGCCACAAATAAAGGAAAAAGGTCGCGGAAAGAGTAGCTCACAGCTTAAGTCCACTTGCATGGTGCGAAAGATTAAGTAGCCGTGCAGCTCGCACACCGTCTTCTATCCTACTGCACACCTACGTCACCACTACACAACTAATCAGGAGATTTTCAATTGCTCATTAAAGTCCAAGTGTAATATTCTATATACTATATTATAAAAATGCACACAACTGTTGACTAACTTTTCATATATATTCACGTCTCAGCCATTTTTATGTTCAAATATGTATTTTGGTCCTCAATTTTGGCTGACTTATTAATATTTTCAATTGCCAAACAATTCAAACAATACAATCGATACTTAACACATTTTGAGTATGCAAATAACTTGCACATTTCTGAACTACACTGGTAACCTGCCTTATTCTTCTCAGTGACAATGACTTGATATGTGTCATTTGTGTTGCGGTGGTGTGCTTGACTTTTTTTTCGAAATTTAATAGAGAAACAGATCATAAAGTTTTTACAGGTTCACTGAATCATCCTAAATGAATGAATGTGTGAAACGTGCAGTGCAATTTTCGGCTCTATTTTGTCAACTTGGACCGTAGAGTAAATTTTGTATTGGTTACTGTGTGCACTTGCGCTTAATTATATTCAAATATGGTGCTGTGATAGGACACTTTCATTTTGGAACAGTCTTCAGTTTTAGAAAATGTAAATTTTAGCTCGTGTTTCTGAAAAGTTGCATTTCTTTGACCTTCATATATAGGAAGTTTGGCTCGCATTTCATTATATTCATAATTAACTTTGGTTAATTATTGGTTAATTGTTCCCCACGTTCCCCCAAGATTGTGGGGTGGAGTTGGGGACTTAGTCTCTCGTGAGTGCATCTGTACAGTAAAGAATTACCATTATTTTTCTCTTAGTTTTATACATATTTCTAGTCTTGCCTTATTTCCCCATACAGGCTCCAACACCCTAGGTGCGGGTGTCACGAGTGTGAAGTGGGTGGCTGGCACGACCTACAACGTGGGGGCAGGCGTTGTTGGGACAGCTGGTACTGTTGTAGGAACAGTAGCAGGCACAGCAGGCACTGTGGCCAGCACTGTGGGTTCAGGAGCTTCTGCAATTGTCTCCAAGGTTGCTACCAAGAAAAAGGAACATTCGGACTAAGGGGTGGTAGTGGTATGATTTTTTTATTTTTATAGTTTTGGTCCTTTTTTTATATATAGATATATAACCACTTGTTTTACTATAGCTGTTTGGTATTGAAGCCACGTATGAGAGAAACATCCAAGTGCTTCAAAAAAATTGGCAGCTTTTTTTTCTCTCTCTCTCTTGTGTTGTATGTGTAGAATGCAGTATTGTAAAAAAATGTATAAAAAACCTGAAATCAAGGTAGGTGCTACTGTATGGTAAAAAATGGTATATTTCTAGTAATTGGTGAAATGGATTCCCCCTCAAAAGAGAGAACAAAAATGAGTAAAACTGTTTAGTAATATGTAGGAGATATGGTATTATAGATTTTTTGGGGGAAATTTGAATGAATGTAAACTTAATTTGAAATCTGTTGAAGGTTCACTTTAAAATACAGTAGTATTGGATGCTAAATGTAACTTTCCAGAATGATAAGTATGTTCATAGTAACAAAAACAAACAAATAAAAAACACAAAGGAAAGTTTGGGCATTGAGGTAGATGTTCATTCTTTCAACTGTCTGTCTGGTATCGATGAACAAATCGGGAAAAGATTCATATATATGATTATTAAAACCAAAAGCTCCTTGAGAGTTATAAAATCATATACGAGCTGAATTATTTTTCCCAGGGAAGATTTTAATGGATGGGTTTTGTTTAAGTGTATGTAATCGTGGGATTATAGCTTTACATAACGAGATTAAAGGTAGGAGGATCCCTTGTTGTCGAATGAAAGTAAAGGAATTGTCTGTTTATAATACCCAATGTTCGTAGTGTTGTGAGGAGAGATGGTGGGAAACAAAGGCAAGTTTGTTTAGGCCAAGTACTTCGAGTCATAAAGAGAGTAATAGTTATTGCTTGGATAATTCCCCCCTTCCCCCCAAAAAAAAGACCTGCATCAGCCATGATATGTCAGACTCAGGGTTCAAGGGAAAAAGGTTTGGTTCCCAACAAGCAAAGTGCTTCCATTGATTTGGTAACCTAATGTGTCTGTCAAAAAGGTAACTTTAGGTGTTGAGAGACAATCATGAGTGTTTGGCTTTGTACTACATGGTACGTAGATGTACTTTAGGCAGTAAAGCAACACATTATTTTTGGTAGACCTTTTGACCTTTTGACCTGTTGAAAGCAGAAAGGATTTCAGGAAGTAATATCCTGGTTATTGCTTTTTTATGCATTGTTGATTCAGTATTTTTTGCAAGAATGACAGTGAAGTCAAGTAGTAATAGATCATTTTTGTGAATGGAGTCATGGAGATATTCTAGATTTTAGCAAAGTCAGTTGAAAAAAGGAAAAAAAAAAATCTTTAATTTGTAAAGCAGATACAATAAATGGTATTTGGTTTTGATGTGCGGAAAATCTTTCTAATGACTTGATGTTGGTATTTTTACATACAATTTGCAGAAATTTTCTTAATATCAGTTATGCTTATGAAACTGGACTTTGATCTTGCCAGAACCATATGTTATGCTTAAAATATAAATATAATAGATAAGTTTTTACAGGAACTTCATATAATGATTTATGTGCATGCTGTTAGGTTTAAGGGAAGACATTACAAGGAGAATGTTCACCATAAGCCAGTCATCTTACAGATTTCTTGTGCTGCAGGCAAGAAAAATGTAAGATCACACTATGAAAATGGCTTTTGCCCACTTGTAAATTTGATCTCATTTCTGATCACACTTTTGAAAAAAAAGGATTTTTTTTTTTTTTTTTTTTCTATAGTTCCTTCATAGCGGTCGTTGATTTTTCCCCCTCTCTATTTCTAGTATGTAGTTCCAATTTTCAGTGTACAGTTCCTCATTTATATACTATTAGTTTGCTTCAAATGTATAGTTTAAATTTCTTTTTCTAGTTCAGTTTCAGTACACAGTTCCTCTTATTATAAACCAGATGTATCTGCACCCTCTTACACTGAAGATTCTGTTGTAGGTAATCTGTTTGAATTTGATTATTTAGTTGATGCAAATACTGTATTGCTGGGCAAGAGAGTGTTATTGACTAAAATTGATTTGTACAAGTGTAAATTATGAGAATCTCCAGGGAACAAATTACTGTGCCATACAAATGTAAGTCATTATTATTATTATTATTTTTTTTTTTACATTATCTAGTTATTTTTATACCAGTGTCATACATTTATAATGATATATACGTGATGCATTATAGAATAAAAGAGAAAAGATATCTTTAATTTCAGTGATTGTTTGATGTTCATACCATCATTAGTAAACATTGTGATGGTAAAATCAAGATTGAGTCCATTTTGGTGTTTAGATGAAGTCAGTTGTAGATTTAAGAGTGAAAATATACTTGGTATGATAAGCCAGGGTGTCGTTAAAATAACATGAAATTTCAACATAATGGTTAATTTGACATTATTGGTAGTAAAATCCAGAGATTTACCATATGTGATATTATAATTGTCTTAGTAAGGTGCTTCGGTTGCGGTACCCTTAGTACAAACAATCTCTAATCAGCTCTAGTGCAATATTTTAATAAAACTGATATCTACTGGAAATAGATTTTGTATGATGATAGTTTAGTTGTCAGTGAGAAGTTCAAAAAAACAAAACATTGAATAAGATTAACAAAGGGGTAAAGTTGTTTAAATATCTCTTGGTTAAATGGAATGAAGTGATTGATTAGATTTAAAAATTGGGTTTTTAGTTTCATGTGTACATAGTTAATTAATGGTGATACTGGGCACTTCTCTGATACAAGAACTGCAACTCTGGTTTTCCTCCAAGAAATGCAGTATTAGTGTTATAAGAGGCCAGTGAAGTTATGATAAAAACTTTGAACGATGAGGACCACTTGTTAAAACAATCTGATAAAGTATTTAATTGCAGCTCAGGTTTAATGTTTGATAGTATGGTGAGCACAGTCAAGTCCATTCATAAAGCATTGAGAAATGGAGGGAGTGCTTATGGAATTAGTTATTCAGGAGCTAAGTATTATGTGAGGAAATCTTTTATATACAGTTTTAAAGCCTATTTTGTGAATCAAAATACCATTCTAGTGAATGTATGGAAATATTTACCTGCAGAATTGGGAAGTACTCATGGTACTGTTAAGACGTGTTCACACCTGTTCACATGATTGAGCACTGCCAGATGGGCACTTGCTTGATACCTGTTGTTAGGGCAAAATTGACACCTAAACCAAGGAAGGGTACCTATGGTTGAGTGAATTCAATCAATAGATACGGCTGTCTGCCTTGTAGTTTGACCATTTGCCTCCGAGTAAGCCAGACACCAGTACCCCTGTGTACATGACACAAAGCTTTGCCTGCTAAGAGGACAAAGTCTGCCAGGCATTATTCAGTCATGTGAACAGAGCATAACATTTTTAAGGTTTCCTACACTGAGAAAATTATATACTGAAAAGTACCTGTTGCAGCAGCTTCTAGGAAAAATATTTCAGAACAGCAAATTTTGCCATTTGTGGTATTTGTTTAAAAAAAAATTGTGCCATTATAAAGTATTGGAAGTTGTTTTCCTAGGGGTTGCAGTGACTGACTTTTTGATATGTAATCATATGTGGAAGATAATTTCCAAGTCTAAAAGGAATGGTACTTTTCATCTCTGTTTGCCAGTGTAATAGAATAGGATTTTTACATTGCATATGGTAATAAGTAAGGTTACAGGTGAACACTCATGCTCTAGAATAAGCATAGACCATATTAAGAAACTGATAGTTAAATAGTAATTAAGATTGTTGCTCATGATAGTTTCTATATATTCTGATAAATAAAAAAAGTTGTCAAGTCCATAAATGTGAGGCAGAAAAGATTTTTTTATTTTCCTATACATTCTTAAGGAAACTAGATATGTAGATATTAAGGTCCATTCCATGTGAGGGGAACATTCATTGCTTACACATTGTGGCACAGGCAGTGGTGATGTCATAAGTGAAGAAGAAAGCCACACCTACTTGGGAATTACTCATTCAGGAAGAACACTTTGCTTTTGATATCATAATACAGTTGTGCTCATGTGGGCAATACCATTCATGTGTATAAGGAAAAAATAAAAATGATTCTTCACTACTGCATGAACAATAAAAGCTTAAAAGGAAACATAATAGTGTATGACAATCATGGTGCACAAGGAAAATCTTGTAAAAAAATAATCCCATTTTTATGTTTAATTCCATTAATGGAAAAATTCTGCAAATGCCTCGCATGAAGAAATTGTTTTACCAAAAACTCTTCCCTCCCAATACCTTGCTCATTGTTGCCATGGGAGGGCTTAGGAGATGGGTACTTAGGCCCAATGTAGGGGATTGCCCCTACCATGGGCCTCAGCCCTCACCTCAACTAATTTTGCTTGGTCTTTTCTCTTTGTATCTTCATCATCCCCTTCTTCTATCTCATTCCAAAGGTGTCTATGTCTACTCACTCTATCCCCCAGTCATATTCGTTTTCCAGTCTAAATCCAGATACTTCAATCTCTACCACTTCCTCGATACCTACCCCTCCACCTCTTTATTTGTCGTACCTGGCAACCTACACATTCCACTCCACCCTCCCCTGCACTTTCCTCTTCTTCTGCTCCTCAAATATCTATCTCCTCTTCTCCTCCTCATAAGAGAACCTTTGTTTCTCAGTCCTCTTCACCTAACTCCCCTCCAGAAACCATTGAAGATATCCAAAACTAACAAAAGATGACCCAAGGGAACACTCGGCCCTCTCATCCACCCCCAATCCCTCTGTTCCTACTCCTATATTTGCAGATATCCATCCTCCTCCTCCTAAAGTTCCCTCCAACCCCCTTCCTCCTACACCCTCCCAACATACCCCACTTGAATACTCACACAACCATCCATCACAACAGTATTCTCCAGACTCCTCCCCTCCAGACATTCTTCCTGATACTTCACCACCTTCCACAGTTCCCCTTTCTTGTCCCCTGGATTATTCTCCTACGTCTCCAACAGTCACGTTTTCCTTGAACATGTCCCTATTCCTTCCGCAGTCACAAATACACTGCAATCACTCAATTGCTCTACCCCCTTAACCTTTCCCATTTTACCAAGTTGGAGAATTGAGAGGCAAGAGGGAAAGGGGCTTGAAGGAACAAGAGTACACTTCTTGCTCCACACATCCTCTAAAACAGCAGCAAATGGCAGTTGCGGGACAGGGAGCCAGTCACTGGGGGATGATACCACTGGCCCCGAATAGCAAAAATACGTTAAGTTTACTGTAAATTTACTTTGTTAATTGTGTTTACAGAGATGGCTTGCTTAGTCATCAATTATTTACATCTGGAACAGTTGTTTGCAGTTCAAATTTTTCATTACTGTGTTAGCAATATTTGACAATGCTCATCTCTGAACAGTATTTTTCTCTTAACCCTTTGGTTGTAGATTGCCTTTACATATTTGTAACTTTTTTAAAATATTAACCCCTTCTGCGGTTGTCACCAAATAGCAAGTTAAGTTAAATTTACTTTGTTAATTGTGTTTACACAGAGATGGCTCCACAAGTGCTTAGTCATGAAAGTTCAAGTCAATTATTTACATCTGGAACAGCATTTGGTGGATACAGTTGTTTGCAGTTTAAATTTTTCATTACTGTGTTAGCAATATTTGACAATGCTCATCTCTGAACAGTATTTTTCTCTTAACCCTTTGGTTGTAGATTGCCTTTACATATTTGTAACTTTTTTAAAATAATAATAATAATAAAAAATATATATGTATAAGGTATTAGGTGCCGTATGTAGAGGGTGAAGTACTGAACAAGGCAGACGCAAGCAGGGGAAACTGCCAACGTGCACCAACAATCTTGCCACTAGCCAATTTTTAATGCTGCAATTAGTGGGTTAAGTTTTCAATCCTATGAAGTTCTTAGTGTAGATATGATTTTTTTCTTCTTCAAAACATAAACCTAATTACAAAAGTAAATATAATTTATGGTATTCATCGAGGGTAAGACAAACCACTGTAAGAAATAGGTAAATATCTGTATTAAACAAATATTATATAAACATTGGCAGTTCAGGTACAAGACTTGGTTCATATAATACAATTTATACCTTGGGTGGATTCCATAACCACACTACATACCACAATAAATTAATAAAATAGGGACAACAGATTACACTGTAAAATCTCATCTCCATTTTCTTGTTACAGTCATTAAACATTCTTGTTTTTTTTTTTTTTTTTTGTAAGATGTTTTTCTGAAGTTTTATAAATTTCACTCTTCCTTCTGGTTGAGAAAAGCAACAACTGTATTACATTCTAGCTGTTTATAAACCTGACATGGAATGAAACAAAAAATGCATCGTTAACTCTCTCTTTTGTACTGGGATGTAAACTTTAGCATATATATTACCAAAAGAAAATTAAATACCCTGTAACTTTATAAAGTCTTGAACAAACATTAAATATATCCAAAATAAGGGAAGATAAACTATTAATATGTCTAATTTCTGGAAGGGTATCTCGGTATTGAAAAAAGTGAAGAAATATAGCATACAATGAAAAAATAATTTTGCATATAAATGCACATAGGTTTACTGCTTTAGGATAAAGCATTTTGTGTTTATTTCCTATGACTTTGTAGTTTCTTTTCGGGCTTCACTGAAGACCCTGAAATATAACAACACTAAAAAAATAGAATTATAACTATTTTACTATTTTTGTTTTACAATCACAATTTGAGTATGATGCTGCACTGCTGAAAAGAATCGGGTAAAATGTGTATGCTGCATAAAATCTTCATTCATATGTATATAAATCTTAGTTGCCAATATCTCAAGACAGTTTTTCTATCTATGTACAGGTATGCCTTGATCACACTACAGAGAGAAGTACAAAAGAAACCCTCAAATCTATTACTATTGACATGAACATTTATTTACTTATATGCATAGTATAGAATTTTAATACCAGATTTACAATACAATTTGATGTGAGGCCCCATAACAAAGTGCTATTTCAAGCCAGATTAATTACGCACTGAAATACTAAGTAAATACTAAAAGGTGTCAATAATGATAAAAAAAACATGAAGTTCACCTTTACCCAGGGATAAAATATAAAAACAGTAGAGAAGAGGGACACTGAGATTCCAATTACAAAAAACAAAGAAATGATGGGCCATTTGATTTAGATATTGCATATGTAACATTTAACAAAACTTAGGCAAAGATATGGTCCTACTGCTTATAGTGAAGTACTGTACAAGACTGGAAATATCTAAATTTTCTTTAATCTGGGACAAGTTGGGGGGATAAGAAGGAAGTACAAGACAGCTGAGCTATGGGTTAATGCATTAATCACAAACAAAATTTAATACTGTGATTACATATTATTAGTGACAAGGCAATATTTGTATAGATAATCAAAACAGTATCTGCCCATAAAATAAAAATTCCTTTGAAGATTTTTTTTTTTGTCTATCCCCAAGGATATTTTTGTACACTAAATCATTCTGTAAGTCTTGAGCAATCAAAACCCCAAGTTTATTTTTGTTTTCCTTTTACTTCAAAATAAACTTGAATATCAAGTGCAAAAAGCCTGCAACCCTAGAGTACTTATTGTCTTACTCATTGCAGATATAAAACATTTTACTATTCAACCCTGTTAAAATTTCAGCTGCTACACACAGGAGAAAGAAAGAACGAAAAAGGGGGACAGAGTAAGGGAGAGAGAAAAGTGGAATAAAAAACACCAGCTACATACGTGCATTTATTATTAAGAAAATATGAAAAATAATGATTATTACAACTCTCAAATAAGGCACTGTAATTCACTAAGTAATTATACTGGAGAGAAATGAGGTTTAGTTTGAGAGGAAGAAAACTGACTCGTCATTCTGGTCATCTCTTTGTTTTCACTTTACCCTTCTTTGACTGTTTGGAACTGATCTGGAAGTTGTCACCTAAAGTTTTCTGTGTTATGTCAGCACAAATGGGAGAAGGGTCAGCAGGGTACACGTCAAGGTCATCCTCTGTTGCCGATTTGCCTTTGGTTCGTCCCTTTCGCCTGAGTAAAGTAAATAATCACAGAATTATTTTACAAAGATTAAAACCAGAAAGAAAGAAAGAAAAAGAAAAAAAAAGGGGCCTTAAAGTATTCTTTCTGGTTTCAATTTTTAATCTAAATGAAATTATCAAAAGGAATTCCCTTGTAAGTCTTGCAATATATTCAGACTTTACTGCCTATTTAGTACACTAAAATACTTCCATGGTAAACAATAGCTAGTGAGAAAATCCCATTATATCACACATTTTTATTATTATTAATGTATTTATTTGTGACAACACAATTTATGCATTTTCTTCTAGTATATAATGTTTTTGATATAAATCATCTGTCTCAACTGGGATTGTGATGCTGGGTGTCACCTACTTAGTTTGGCATTTAGTCCTTGGTACTTATATAACAGTTCTTACAGAATTCAATATTGATAAGAGAAGAAAGAAAAAGAAAAAAGTGACTATGGAATAAGAGAATCAATTCATAACAATAACAAGGCACTGCTCTACCTGGAGGGGGAGGCTTGGGAAGGGGCTGCGTATTCCTCCAGCTCCTCGTGGTGCCTCACTCGAGACAGGAGAGTCAGGTGTAAACAGTCCATGGCGAAGTCTCCTGGCTCCTCTTCGCTCAGCTCGATGTTATAGGTATTCGCCTACGGGAAAAAGTGTGCTTGAAATAGTTGAACAAGATCTCAAAGAGGATTTAAAGAGGTAGAGCACAACAGTTTTATCTACTTCAGCACATCCTGATTTCCTAGCTGGATAAATGGGACAAAGACCATATTATTTTCTTAAAGCACAGGTGAAATATTTTTTCCTAGTAGGCATCGACAAACAACCCAAAGTCTACAATGCTCAGAATCAGGGAAACAACAATAGTAATAATAATAAAAGAGGGAAAAGAGGAAATAAAAACAATATCACTACAAATATTTACCAGCATCAAACATGAAAGAAACAGGCGAGAAACTTCCTTTGTGTCATGATTTTGGGCAATCTGACTAAATGGCACCGTTTGCTTCCGTCCATTTTCTGGGAAATAACTTAGCACCTGTAAAAAATAAAAATAAAAAATTGAATAAAAATGAATTAATGAATAACAGCTACAGAAATATAATTAATAAACAATATCATGTACTCAAAGAAATGCTTTTTATTATTATTTACAAAATTTTATTATAGAGATATGGGTACAGTGAAAGTAAATGTTTGAATGGCTATTTAAGAAACAAACCTGTGATCCATAGCTATGTATGTCGAATGTTTTTCTCCCTTCTTCTTCATTTAACTTAGGGGTAATATTTTCTCTCCATTTGTTAACTCTTCTTGCAAGTTCTGAGGAATTCACTTGCCCCTAAAAAAAGGAGAAGAATCAGTACCAATTCTTTTAGTTGTTGTTCATATTTACTGCCTATGTATTCAACCACAGACCAAGCGCATAAAACAAAATGCAGTTTGAATAGATAAAAATCTTTGTTTACAACCTATAATCTAACTTACATAAATGTTCAGTTTCCACATTACATTTTCCCATAGACATACCTGGGCAGTAGTGATGTAATCAGCAACCCACTTTTGCACAAGGGCTTCGTAGTCACTCCCTGGCTCGTCAAACTGACTCTCGTTCAATCTTTTATTTCCACTGCCACCTTCAACGTCTCTTGTGCCATCATGGGGTTCAGGGAAGAACATGGGAGGTGCAGGAAGATCTTCGAAATCTAAGAATAGAAAGCTCGTAAAATTAGCCATCAAGTCCAATGCTGATGTTAAATCTATCACCCACACACTTTCCACCTCAAGGAACCCAAACCCTCTTGAACTCTTACCTAAATCAGCTGCTCCATCACAGTCAACAGGGTCATCCAGCTCCTTCTCTATTCTCTGCTTCTCCTGGGTTTCCTCCAACACCTTCTGGGCTGCCTCTTCTGGGTCAGCGGCAATACCATCCTTCAGCAGCTCCTTCACTCTTTTCTTCTTGCTCAGTTCAAGCCTTTTCGCAGCCTCCGACTCGGCCTCCTCCTGCAGCTCCAGAGGTACCTGGGAGGGAGTCACATCATCGTGAATGACTAGTGTTATTGATGTTTTCGAGAATGATTCACGTAAATCTTTTTGTTCCTAATGTTCTAGGTGCTGATACCAGAGCATTTTTTATGTTTTGGAGAAAGTTACGAAATGTTTAAAAAATAACTTTTTTTTCTTCTAAGTTGGATACATTTTTGTTCATTTTATACTGTTGTATCTGGTTGCTTCACGGAAATTACAGTGTCAAAAACATGTGCAATGTATTATGTAAGTAGCAATGACAAGGCTCTCTGCCTCCCATTTGTAAAGTTATTTTGTGTCACTTTTTTTTCTTTCTTCCTTTTTTTTTTAAATAGCTTTATTGCAATTTTCCAATGTCCATATTTGTCTTTTGATATGCTTTATCCACATGGCAATATCATCTCTCTATGTAGAGAATATTTACATTATATTTATATATATTTTTTGTAATTTTCAATTTTATGTAATACAACCTGCGCTGGCGGTCATAGCATCCAGGAATATCGTTCGTACCATGGAAATGACATCCTCCCTGGAGTCGGCGCTCTTTCAGTCACTGCTTACACACGTTACATTCCACATTTATTTATCCATGGGAATATTACTAATTCCCCCTTCTAAGAACTAAATAAGTCAAATCGCACTCCAAGAGATGTGTGCACTTGTGGCGAGCCTTTTCCATCACCCTGACCCTTGCTTACGACGGCAAGTTCACGTCACCCAGTCTGCGGCCATATTGCCTGATGATGGCATGTTCTGGTCACCGACGTCTTGACTCAAAATTTTCCATGATGTGAACGCAACACAATTCCGGTTCAAGGGGTTAATGAACAGAAAATAAAGTTATGGAAGATTCAGGGTTGTGATCAAAAAAAGAGGGAAAAAAAGAGAGAAAGAAAAACTGATGAACAGGAATGAATATCCACTAAATGGGGAAGAGAGAGAGAGGGAGTGGGACAGGGAAAAGAGAGAAGAGAAGAGACAGAAAAGACAGAAGAAGAAGAAGAAGGTGAAGAAAAGGGTTAATGAGAGAGGGAAGGGAGTAAGAAAGAAAAAAAGACCGAGGAGGAGGAGTTAAAAAAAGAAAATACGAGGATACACTACTTACCTTCCTGTTTTTGCTGGACGTATCCACTATGCCATTTGTGACAAACGTCTCAATGGATGGAAGACTCTTCTCCACCTTCTTCTCATCATCTTCTGTGTTCTCCTTGTTCTCTTTGCTCTTTGCCTTCTTTGGACGAGATCGGGACTGTAGAAAAAAAAAAATGTTTTTGTTAAAAGGAGAATGGGAGAAAGTTTTTCTTTGTCCACTAAACGCAAGTAATGATGAAGAGTGTAAATGCGTATAAACCCCTTCTGGATGGGTCCTGTAATATAATAATTGGGATTTCCATGGGCAAGTTTTAAAAGTCTAGGTAGGAAAGAAAGTGCCTGAGGAAATTAATGGGTACCTATTGGTGAGGGCAGATACTTTGTGACCTAGTCTCAAATAATAATAATAATAATAATAATAATAATAATAATTAAAAAAAAATAAATAAATAAAAATAAAAATAATAAATAAATAAATAAAATAAAAAAAAGCACAAACACACTGCCCACAGCCACTCCCTTTTGTAGCTTTTAACAGTCAACCATTCATATTCAGCTAATCCATGATTGTCAAAAATGATAAATACATTTTTGGCTGCCTTATCATTACTGATTATTTTTTTTACGAACCAAAGCATGTCTTCCCAAAAGATGGCGGCTGCTGAAACTATGTTGTCCAAATACCTCTAGCCTGTCTGGGAGGAGCAATTCAGGGGACCGTCCCTGAGAATGGCTGCCTGGCTCTACTTATTTCATCATAAAAAAATGTCGGTTGGAGATAACTCATGGATTGTTTTTGTATAATGTAGAGTATATAATTGCACTTCGTCTTATGAAGAGTTTTAACCCGACCCCCCCGCAAAAAAAAAAAAAAAAAAAAAAAAAAAAAAAAAAAAGTTTATTTGTTTACTTATTCCTTTTGTTTTATTTCAATTAATTTATTAATTTTATATATAAAAAATAAATAAATAAATAATAATAATAATAATGAAAAATAATAATAAATAAAAAATAAAACTGCATTTGAATTGCATAAAAATTATGACCGTTGAGATGTACCAAAGCTTGTGTAAAAGAGGGTCAAAGTTTGTCATCTCTGTTATTTTTCACTAAATCTAATGATGTTATATATATAAATAAAAAAGCTTATTCAGTGTATTTTGTGACGCAATGATATTCTGTAATGGTATGTTTGTTGGTTTGTTTTTCTGTTTCAGATATAAAAGTAGATATTTCTGTCTGAAAAGTTTAATAAATGCCTTACATCATAGAGAAAACTAATCTTAACAAGATAAAGCCCACCCCCCTTTTTTCCTTTAGAAAATTTGATTTTGAAGAAATGGAGAACTATGGATGGCAATATCAGAACAAAATCATTCTAGTTATAAAGTCCTAGCATGAATACAACATGGCAGTTCAATTTAAAGAATTTTAAAAGCTTATGTATCGAGGAGTACATGAAAGTTGAGACTTACCGAAGAAGTTGAATTTTTCCCATGGTCCATACAGGGGTGGGGTGGGGGGAGGGCAAGGGGGAGACGGTGACTGGTTGGTTATAATTTTCGAGGAGGATCATTAGTATGTAAACACAGGTACATAAGGTTAACCATTTTAATCATCCTCATTTAGGAGGCCTACATTGACTTTTTACGTAAAGGAATAAAATATATTAGCTATCCCTATCAAACCGTTTTCTCTAACAATTTTCAAAAGTAACAGTTTTCTATGGGAAATGAGTGTAGAGTTGGTGTTTAGTCATTTGCACCCATTATCTTTGCTAAGAAGTGTATAAAATCATCACATGCCTAGGTGTGGTTTGACATCCCTTCATAAACAACAACATATTACCATGGAATCTCAATGAAAGGCATATTTCAAGTGTAAAAGTGCACATGACAAAGTGTTCTTTGAACATTCATGAACTCACATCTATGCGCAATGTCATTATCAAATGCCATATGCAAGACTGCAACAAGCAAAACTCCACACAGGTCTACCCGGGCGCATATTTGTGGTGTACCTCCCTACCTGTTGGCAGTTCTTGCATGCGCCGCCCAAAAAATAACTGGAGCTGGGCTTTAATAGTCGTTTGGTAGGTTCCTCATTCTTGTACCAATTCAATATGCTAGCTAACTCCATTTGACTCACAAATTTTCACCCCCCATGCCCCGAAGGACGGTCCCCTTAAAGCTAATATGTATATTGGAGGACTTCCTCATCACCTATTATTAAAAATCAAACTAATTTTAAGCTAGCACGGAAAACAAACAAAGCACCCCTTAAAGCTAGCAAGCCCCTGCAACTGCATCATCTAACAAGCAATAAACTGACACATACTGGGGTAGTCCGGTGACAGGTGCACGGCAGGGGCTTCCGCAGGCGCCCCGCTCTTATAGGCCGTTTGGCAGGGGTCACCGCATGGGGGTCTTGTGGCTTCCAGGTGTCTGTTAACGTCAACTTGGCTATGACTTCCTTCTCCTGCCCTCCTCGCCGTCTTAGTCCATACCTGGGAACAGTGTGTAATGATAACAGTGCAATATACTCTAAAAGCAAAGGCTGTTAAGGTTTATTATTTACCTTATGGTTAACAAATTTATACACTATGCTTGCAAAGCTTTACTTATCAAGCAAACTGCAATTTCTCCATATTCCTGAAATCAAATACTCATGAAATTGTCATGAAAAGCATAAAAAAAGAGAAAAAGAGAAACAGGCAACTACAGCTGATATATATAGAAATAATAAGTAATCCAGTGAATAAAAATTAGAAAGCCCACCTTCCATTGGGGAGGTCAATGACTGTCAAATTGTTGTTGATATTGTTCTCCTGATCTTTACTCTTGTCCTTCTTCTCTTCTACCTCTTTCTCCACCTCCATGGGCTGCTCTTCCTCCTGTAAGGCTGGCCCCAGGTCATCATCCAAGTCCACTGCCCCATCATCTGCCTCAACCCCAACATCGTCATCTGAGGGTTGGAGGATCAAGAGACATGATAGATGATATAAGAACATAGAGAAACAAAGATTTAAAAGAAGAATAAGAATGATGAATGTGCTAATCTGTTAAGTAAATACAGGAATATAAATACTGAAAACTGTTATCTTATGACTCCCATGTTCTAATTATGCTCCCTAATATTTCCCAACAAATTGACATGTAGAAACTACAGCAATCCATTATGTAATTGTGCACCACACCATCTTTGGCAGAGAAGAAATTCAAGTGTTTCCTTGTAATTTTGTCTGGACAGTGAATTGTCAGAATATCAATGATATAATATAATTGTATGTACATTCTAATTTTCTTAAACTGCACAGTGTATAAAGATTGGTTTCAGTAAGTAGTGTGGTTTGTGCTTATCAAGAACATAAAACAAAAAAGTGAAATATTAACAGAAAAGAAAAGGAAGACAACAAAGAAGAAAAACAACACACACACAATAATACTTCCACTTCTCCCAGACCCCCAAAGTACAGCTAAAATCTAAGGACGACCAACCTGCTTCTGCTTCCACGGGTCCCTGAGGCACATTAGGCTCGGGTGGGAAAAGCTCAGCTGCAGGAGGATCCATTGGAGTAAATGGGATTTCCTTGTTGCTTCCAGGTTCTGCGAGCTTCTCCCCTGCCTCTGCATTTTCTTTCTGTGGCTGTGGGTAGGAGAAGGGAATGACTATAGTTGAAGTGATGGCAAGAACAGATGGTGGAACAGATGGTCAATATTAATTGCTTAACCCCTGGGAACTGCAAACTCTACAGCTTCTATGTTCTTCTAGTTGCAAAAAGGATAAGAAATTTTAGGTTTCACTAGGGCACAGTTTGGTTGTATGCATTTGATGAGCTTAAATTTGCATACTAGAAAATGTATATCTTATGGTCATATCTCAGATTTGAGTCAGAGTTTTATTGGGTATATCAGAGGACATTACACACATCTCATTTGCAAGGAAAAAGTTGAGTGAAATTTCCTGCCTATCTCTGATGGGTCTTACTTAAATATAGCAAATAGGGCTTAAGGAGCAAAATGAGATGATAAAATTATGAAAGCAAATTGAAGAAGCAGAAAGAAAGAGAGAGGGAAATACAGAAAATCAAGGTATAAAAATGTACAACAAATATATCTAAAGAACATATATGCAATTCCTTTATAAATAACACAAGGAACAACTAACCTCAGGTACAGTCGGGGGGACAAAGAGGACATTGGCTGCCTCACGCAGGATCTCTGCCGGCACCTCAAGGCACAGCATACCCATGGGTGTGACATACGACCTGTTGATTCTGAAGTCGTCTTTAGCACCAAACACCTCGCTGTTCTTCATCAGTAGGTTGATACGGTACTGGGACTTCTCACCTTCCTTCTCCACCAGGTGAAGGGGCGTGGCTGGCATGAATCTACATGTTGCAAAAGGAAGAGATTGGGGTTGATTCTTGTGAATGAACTGGGATCAATATACATGTGAGTTAATAACTGGTGTTCTTGTGCATGCAAGTACCTGTGGTAACAGAGAGGGGATTACGTCTCTTACAAAGAAGGGAACTATGTAGGATTCGAGTTGGAAAAGCCAAGGACAGGAAGAATATTTACATAAAGTGCTAACTACGGGAAATTCTGTACATAACCTTTGTTTTCATATTTCAAAAGGAGATTACATAGAATTTATAATACAAATATACACTTACAGACAGCCTAAAAGTTAACAATATCTGACTCTTGGAAATTTCCAAAGAGATCCTTAAATTCTAAGATTTCCTAATCTAAAAGTAAGAGGTACAGGAAATTTTGCAAAATACTTTGCCTGGTAAATAAGACATTTAAACTGAGTTTAGTTCTCTCCTATACATTTTGAGTTGTTGATATTTAACAATGATAATAAAGAGATGAAGAAATAATCAATACAGGATAAAATCATGTGGAATATCATAAAAAAAAAAAAAAAAAAAAAAAAAAAAAAAAAAAAAAAAAAAAAAAAAGCTAGTAAAATGACAAAAGTAAAAAGTTTGGGAGGAGAGCCATTTTTCAAAATAAAGTAGATTTTTTAAAGGAAAATAGAACTATAAATATATCTAAAATTGTAGAGACAAATCAGCAATCATAACTAATGACTTTCAAGAGCTATGACATCAAATTAATTATTGAAAGATGATACCACAAAAGGGAAATGAAGAGAGAAATAAAGAAAGCAAAATATTGAGAAACAGGGAGGAGGGAGGAGGGAGAGAGGGAGGGAGAGGCACTTACACCTTAAATTATTTCATTGGCCTTAAAATCTACACTACTCTTGCATGTTGAACAGGTACAAACCAAAGAACCACCACCATTTTTTTTTTAATACCAGAAAAAACCTATACCATGGCTTGCAAAACCACCTTTACAATGTGAAGAACCTTAAACCCATCTTGGCACAGTACCCTTTCAAAACCCCAACATGATATGGTTAACACTCAAACCAACAATTTGATATTAATTCTATCTAAATTCAACCGTTTACCTTTCGGTGTTATTTCATTCAAACTAAATGCTAACAATTATGGTTAAATAGACACACACCAGACTGAATTATATAGTACTGCCCATCATACTGCTTCTCAAGCTATAGGTTCTGGGAGTAAATAGAGAATGTGGTTGTACTGCATATTTCATACTCACATACCATTTCAGGTTTTGTGCAATATTGAAAGCAACTGTGAATAAATTATATCAGTCCAATAGTCTGAAGTTGAGAAGTTTCAAGAAATGAGCAAGCACCACATTTTACTTTTTCTTGACTTGTAATTGGAGTGAAAACATTCAAATTAATATGCATAATTTCCCCATTCTTAAGTGACTGGATGGCAGTACATGCTTGAGAAGATATAGAGCCAATACCCACCAGGAATGGGAAGGAGTATCATGCAGACCAGAGGGTTCAACTTGAAAGAAGTTTGTATTTCAGCAATCTCAGGAAGTTTTGGAGATGCACTATCATTTGAATGCATACACGCTTATATAAATTGTATTTGCCCCTACGCCTCTGGCTCATAACAAGACTAGAACATTGTGTCCCTTTGGAAGTGTGGGACCACATGCAGGAACATGATATGGCAGTTGATAAGTTACTTAACCTTTGTCTGCTGTAATATTTTGACTATCATTATCATTATCAAAGTAACACAAATATATGTACACATATATATATATATATATATATATATATATATATATATATATATATATATATATATATATATATATACACACACACCTAACATTAGAAGGATTCAGCAGACAAAGATTAGCATTAACACAAATGCTATATTAATAGCAGTCAGGCTCCCAAATTCAACTGTATACAGTAACTCACAACTAATCAAACCAGTCTGCAGAGTACCACTCAACACCATTCAGTGTTATTCCTTTAATTTTTTTCCAGCAAAATTTTTAAATTTTGCTTCAATTAATTTATCAAACTAAATTTCTTATATACAATCAACACTCCCAAACCCAAACCAATTAAATAAAATACTGGACTGAAAGACGTATTTACATAAGGACTGGTGTAGCAGGAAAAAATAATTGTACTAATAAAAATCCTGCTATGCAGACCCTTTACCCAATTCACCCACACCATCACCTTAAAAAAAAAAACTTCTTAATTCAGCTATATATATACATATACATATATATATATATATATATATATATATATATATATATATATATATATATATATATATATATATATATATATATATATATATATATATATATATATATATATATATATATATATATATATATATATATATATATATATATATATATATATATATATATATATATATATATATATATATATATATATATATATATATATATATATATATATATATATATATATATATATATATATATATATATATATATTATATACATATATATATATATATATATATATATATATATATATATATATATATATATATATATATATATATATATATATATATATATATATATATATATAATATATATATATATATATATATATATATATATATATATATATATATATATATATATATATATATTATATATATATATATATATATATATATATATATATATATATATATATATATATATATATATATATATATATATATATATATTATATATACATATATATATATATATATATATATATATATATATATATAATATATATATATATATATATATATATATATATATATATATATATATATATATATATATATATATACATAATCCCAAATGTCTGATAAAACAAATGTGCAAAATTTTATCTCTCCAACGTTTTCAGGATCCTGGCTTTCAGGACATCCACAGGGGAGATTACTGTATGCAGCATCACACATAAGCTAAAGCATTGTCACTGGTCTGGCTGGTAACGTCAAGATACCTTCTTTTCTCTCGACTGATCCAAATATACCTGGGCTGCTGAGCTGAGCCCACGTTATACACAGCCATTCCTCTTCTGTGGGGGGAGGGATGTGTAATACTGTATAAACTCCAAAGGGCAATGTTTATGATCTGTATATCCAAAATCTCAACTGATCCCCCCCCCACCCCCTATCATTCAAGCATCTGTAATTGAACATTAATCTTACCTTCAAATGTTCAGAAACATTAAAGAAATAATCACTTCCTAATACATTTTATATCAAAACTAAAAACTGAGTACTAAATAGTATGAAAATACTGCACAGTAACTGTTAAGACATCGTATAAAAATATACAACATAAAATAACAAAAAGATGAATTATTTAATAATAATGTACATGACAGAAAACATTGGAAAAAGACATGTTTTTAAACAAATGAGAAAGGTAGGAAAAGTATTGATAAATTTTTGTTCTTTCTAAGGATATTTAGTCATTTCTTCCCCTTTAGGCATATCATAAACATCTAATGCTTACTTACACTTTACTCTATTTTCAAATCATAAATGACAAAAAGGCTATGAAAGACAATCTATAGCCTTTATATTGTCTTTTATATAAATAAATATAAAACAAACATTCATAATGTGCTACATAAAAAAGCCGAAATAAGAAAAAATGAAGGGGAGAAAAAGAAAGAGAAAAAAAGTTGCAGAGTTTTCAGAAATGAAAGGTTATACTTCACTGCCTTACAAGATTATCAAACTGAATGAAATCTCTGTAAATAAATAAACACGACCTTTCCCCCAAGTTTAAAGCCACCGTGAGTCATTCCATAATCATAACCAAATGAGCATGAAATACACTAGAATGTCTAACAAGTTTTACAAAAAAGTCCAATAAATTTTAAGTGCTCTGGCATTATCACACAAGCACTATTACTGTCATCTATGTTACTTCTACGAACATCAAAAGAACTGTGGAATAACTGTGGAATGCCTCCCACATGAAGACCGTGGTAACTGTTTTAGTTTTACAATTTCTATCTTGATTTTAAGCTACAGAGGATCTATACAAACAGATTGCTTTTCATGATAAATGAAATAGAAGAGGTACATGTAAACTTAACCCATAATCAAAGAAAATTCTTTGTATAATGCAGTAATCTCCTTTAGATAACAATATTTATCTAAAATGGTGCAATATCTGTGAGGATGCTTGTGTGATTCCTGAGACCACTTGGTCATATGTTTGTTTACAAGAGAGTGGTGGTTCTCTGTTAATGTGTCAGGGCCAGATCCTTTGCATGCATAAAAGTTCTTATGGAAAGGCATTAATGTGTGCTAGTGTGATGGGGCCTTCAATAATCATTAATAATTTTTATGTTTATTGGTTAAAGGCTGTATCTTTTATAGACATAGATTCATAAGCATACTGTACATAATGAATCCATCTTGCTAGATAATAGCATGTGTACAATTACGAGTTAAAGTTATGCTTATCTTATAATCAACTCTCAATAATTCTACAGTTAAACATGAGCTATTTACATACCCAAACACTTTTTTGCATGGTCTAAGGTACCAATCCTTTCCTAGTCATTTCTTAAATGTTACCTTAATATTAGGCAGAATTAAAAATGTCACAATTCCTTTTCAAAGAATTTTCAAAACTCATCAGATTTTTATAGACCAATCAGACGCATGGATTCATCAATTCTCCTTTCAGGCACTTGTAGACCAGTAAAGGAAGTGGTTAGTAAGTACATCTCCCAGAACTTTTGTCATTAGTTCATGTAATACATTTTGGGAAATGCATACACATCGAGTCCCTGTTAGTATGATATGCATTTGCGAACTTTGGAACAGGAAAAAATTATTAGTAACTGCGCATAGAAAAGGAATGCCAAGTAGGAGGAGGCATAGAAGAAAAAGAAAAAAGAGGGAAAGGAGAGGGGGAGAGGAGGAGGAGCAGAAAACAGTAGAAAAAAGGTTCTCATCAACTCTGTGATCACAATATAAAATCAAAATACAAAGATTCAGACAGGCAAAGTTAAGTATACGGAGTAGTGTTTTAGTCTAATAAATGATGAGAAAAGGAAGACACACACACTGAAATACTTTAAGTGATTAGATCTTCTTAATCCCAAAAACTGTTAAATACTTACACACTGCTGGATTAATGATGGGAAAGCCATATATTCTTTGAGAGTTAAAAGATCTCAAACACACAAAAAACACTTCTATATGATTAACAAGTAAGAACTCTCTCTCTTTATTCATGCTAATTCTCCACTATTAACCAGAACTCTATATCTACACTTACTTAAATACGAGTTTCACAAACTTTGAAGTCTGTTGTTTTGTATGTCTGAGAAATGAGATAACGGTTGGAAAAGGAAAGACAAGACACAAAATTTTACTCTGGCAAGTTCTTCAACTCAGTATAAAACTGAACTGAATCTGCCTTTTGGCCCAAATTACTGGACTTCACGATTAAAACCAAATGCTTAATATCTACATGTCTTTGTAAATGTCTGTGTTCATAAGTAATATACCTAAATTGTATGTCCACTGCAAATTTCCTATCTAAAAACAATAATTTGAAAATTACTTAAGAATATAAAACTTCTGAGGCAAAGTCCCCCACTGACAGTTAAATGCAACTTGCTAAGATATGACACGGCAGTTGCATTTCCAGTTGATTAGATTTATACTTTAGTTTCAATTGGATAGATACAAATCATGTAGAAAACTACATTACATAATGCCAATCTCAGGCACCAAAATCTTATTGTGAAAGAAAAGAAAAGAAAGACATAAAGAAAGAAAGAAAGAAAGAAAGTTCTCCCTGAGCCCAAATTTAGGAATTTTTGTTTCAATGCAAATAATAAACCTGACATTTTTGGCAATGCTAAGGCAATGCAGGTTGAATATTTTGAATAATTACAAAACACATGTTCGATGATCTACCAATGCTAACTTGAGCATTGTTAATTTTGTCTGTTAAATCTTGTTTTGAGTCTTGGGATTACTGTATCTCCATTACAATCAGTCTCTAAGTCTAAGTCACATCTATCTATATATATGCTTTACATCTAAATACACTCTTATCTATTCACCCATGTATCACGATCTTCACAAACATGCACTAGACTAAAATGACAAATACACAAACATAACACAGAATATTATTTCTTTTTATAGTCTTCAATATGCATGCTTCATGACTTTAAGATAATCTTCATATAACATCCCTGCATGGAACATTTTCTGTCAAAGACGCAGAACTTCTGTGACTTATCAACTATGAATCTGTTGCAAGTGTAAAACCTAAATCAAAAGTGTAAATGGGAGAGGTAGTTGTGCCTTTAATGACCTCCTCCTCTGATGTTACTCACTTGAAGTTTTTCCGGCGATAGTCCTCCTCCTCCTCCACCTCGTCCTCCTCACGCATGTTGATGTTTCGTCCCTCCCTGATGTTGTCTACTGACTGAAACTCAATGCTTGCGTCAAGAATGGCTTTGCCTCCTCCACCTCCCCCTAGATCCTTCCCACCTGCTGGCCCACCCATCTCCACACTCCGCCTGCTGGAGAGCAGGTCCAACATTTGCAGCACCATCTGCCAGAGGAACTCCACCTGAGGAAGAAAATACACGTCCACTTTTATTGTTGACTATTTTGAGATTTATATATGAAATTCTGTAATCTTTCAGTTACACTATAAATATGTTTGTCAGTAGAAAAGTATATTCCTTTTTTTTACACTGTGAGAAAGGGGAGAGTGAGAGATAGAGAGAAGGTAATCACTCTAAATTAACAATGACAAATGTGAAACAGTCCAAGTCCTTGAGACCTGTATCAGCAATGCACTTCCTTCCTACTAGATAAGAATAGGCAATGAGACTAGATTACCTTTTTGCTGTAAACGGTGGCTGAGCCTTGAATCAACATGGCTGCCTCAGCAAAGTTCATCATTGTTTCCCCTCCATCAAAAGTAATTTGTACTTCTGCCAGTTCCTCAAGGTACTCCTCTAGATACTGGAAGAGGTAAACAGGTTTTAGTACAACTGCAGTAAAGGTTTATACATAGTGAACCAAGCTGTGAATTTGTGGTTTTCAACTTTTTGTGTTATCCCTAACCCTGATATGCTTTCTCATTCTGACGTATTCCTGTGAACATGATGGGAGTAATGTTTGCTCACGCCATTAAACTGTGCAAGGGATGAGAAGAATATCTAATTACAGTCACTGGGTTGATAAAAAAACTTCTTGAAAAAATATAATTTCTATTCATTAAAAAGAATAATGACTATTGATCTGACTAAAACACCACTAAGATGTTCAATAAGCTACTTGGTAGATTAAAGAAGTTACCAGCTTTCTAATGTAATTGTTGTGGGGAAAAATTATTCCTGACAGATGTCTTAGGGTAACTAAATTTCCTTAAAATTCTTACTTTAATTATTCAGTGCACTTATGCAAAGCATAATGCATAATTTGTATATAAACAAACATAATTTATCAAAACTTCTGAAGCCTGTAGGTAATCAATTAACCCAAACAAATACTGACCTTTGCTATGTCCACTTCCCAGTTTTTGGTCAGGTCACGAATGGGGTTGAGGAAGACGGAGAAGCGGGCCTCCAAATCCTGGGATGGGGACGTTTGTCGCATTTTGGTGGCTGCAGGAGATGCATGCAAATGTTAACCTGAAAGAGAGGGAGAGAAAAATAGATTTTAACCCACTAGTGACGGTACATTTTCAAGCTGAAATTAATATTTTCCGGGCGGCTTCAAAATCGGTGTGTGGGCGAGTCTGAGAACCTGCCCGCGCGCCTCCAGCCACAAGCTCCTATCTAACGTCACACCAATGGGACGCCCGGCAATGTTTACTTTTCCGGGTGTTTCATGTGTATGACACCTGTCCTAAGTGGGTTAATTAAAACAATATACAATGTGAAAAAAAAAAAAAAAATAATAATAATAAATAAATAAATAAATAAAAATAAATTTCTAAAAATTAAGATAGTGCATTACATGGTTTGTCCTGGAGAAAGTAATGATGATAGAATTATTTTTGTCCAAAATTCAAAGGATAACAAATCAATAACAGCTGTCAATATCATTAATTCAAAGAACTTGAACAGCTTTGTTCTGTGGTAATATCACTATAGTGACTAAGATACAGAGGTCAATAATGTAAAAAATAACAAAAAATAACCTGACAATGCCTAAATTGGACTTACTCAAAGTAAATCTTTAAAAGACATCTGGCCTCCTGCCAATTGGCACGGCTCCTGTCGCACTCTGACTAAAGCCAACAAAACAAAACTAAATACACATTACATAGCAAGATATGAAATTGTTCACCTGAAAGGCAAGTTCTCATTAAAGAGGGAACCAATCCAAGCTCTTTCGTTGGAATATATGCCTTAAACATTTAAAAATCTTGGCCAGATTTCAAAGTCCTGAGGCCATGGTAGTGATTTTACAGCGTGCTATTTCAACTTTGGGCCATCCATCATTAGAGCACAGTTGTTCTGAACTGGATTGGATTGAACAAAGCCAATATAATTATGAGAGAAAAGACCCCTTTTGAAAGCCAAAGTGAGTGTCTTGTAAACATTTACCTTATTAAATTCTTCATATTCTGATAAGAAGATCATCAAATGTTATACATATATATATATATATATATATATATATATATATATATATATATATAATAATAATAATAATAAATAATAAAATACTACTTCATCAAATATGTTCAGACTTCTTTTGAGCTTAGTGGAGAACACTCCCACCTGGTTATTTTTGGATAGGTGCTGTGTTTAGAGAATAGGCCTAACCAGCAGTGTCCAATGTGAGTAAAAACAATGGATATACTTAAACATAAATTATGTTATCATTTTTCTGAGTCTGGTTCTAAATACGTATGAGTCTTAAAATGATCAGACAAAACACATAAATATATGTTTATGTATGTATGTATATGTATATGTGTGTGTGTATATATATATATATATATATATATATATATATATATATATATATATAATATATATATATATATATATATATATATATGTATATAAATATATATATATATATATATATTATATATATATATATATATATATATATAAATATATATAATATATATATATATATATATATATATATATATATATTATATATATATATATATATATATATATATATATATATATATATTATATATATAAAATAATATATAAATAAAAAATATATATATACATGTATGAACCGTATTCATGTTGACAAATGTGGAAAGGTATGAATGAGAACGAATATCTTCACAATACAAGAGATGTATTTAACTGGTTTTGATTATATCTTCGTTAGAAATACATGACGAAGATATAATCAAAACCGGTAAAATACATCTCTTGTATTGTATTGTGAAGATATTCATTCTCATTCATACCTTTCAACAAATATACATGTATATATATGAACATAAAAAATAAATAAATAAATAAATAAATAAATAAACATATATACGCACACACATACACACACAAACATAATATATTTAGATAACATATTTACATTTAAGTTGAAGTACAGTACAGTGGTGACAGGTATTCACTCTGTATACCCAAAGAACTATTTGACAACAGTTATTTGGTAATGCATCTATTACCTATATCTAAAAATTACTTGACAGCCAAACAGAGTGAATTAGATCAGTTGGCAGTAAAAATAAATGAACAAATAAATAAATGTATAATAAAAAATTAAAAAACAAAAGAAACATTATGTTGGTAGTATACATTAAAAAAAAAAATAATAATTTGCAGCATTTAATGAATAGACCAAACGTATGTCATCACAATCATGTTCTTCTCAACAAACAAATTGAATATATTGGCACTGTCACACTCCTTTTTAGTGTTTAATGTGAAATCAGTAATATTCAGATTTACCAATCTAATAATTACACTTTTATTGAATGTGCAATACAAAGCAAAAAAGTATTCAACACTTTTTACATCAACAGCTGTCTATCAATAATAGTGGCTAAAAGGTGTAACAAACTAAAAATATTGTTTGAGAAATTATATAACTAAAGAAATAGGAAAATAGAAAATAAAAGAAAGCAAAGGAAAAAGTATTCTTATTTGTGTGCTTGATGGCTCACTGGGTTATGGTACCCTAGTACTGTACTGCTCGGTTACCAGTTACTAGTTATTTTAATAAGCATTTATTTACTTTACATCATTTTTCCTTTATCAAATAACAAAAAATATCTAGTACATGCATGCACAGTCTTCCAGGTGGAGGTTACAAGTTGAACCAGCCGAGGTTATGAGTTGACTGGGGTATGAGTCGACCTGATACGGTACTGCTCTCACTTTCATGCATGCAAGCTTTTCTAGCACGTCATTATGACTCATAAGGATTATTCCTGGTACACTGGAGGTGCTAACCTACAAAACCTGAAAGTCGAGGTTATGCACTGCTCGACATGTGCCCACTTTACATTATCTGTGCTGATCAGAATACCTCCAATAATGAAAAATATTAAAAGCAAAATTAATACATAAAATGTGTTCAAATACACTTGGGAATTCTTCCAAATGTCGTTACTCCATAGTCTGCCGATATCAATTGCTAAAGCCAACAAACCATCTTTTTCGACACCCTCAACAACTGCACCAACTTCGAATGGATCCTTATTTCAAGATATGTTGATAAGCACCACTTTGCCGAAAAATGCACAACATCGGACAGATCATCTTCGCTAGTGCGCCGAGGACACCGCATCACTAGACGAACAAGAAACACAGACGTTGATAAAAAATAACATTTTTTTTGTCCTTTTTTTCTATATTTATTTTCATCTTTTAGAGAATACCTCTCTCTATATCGAATAGTTTCACCTGATGGGCTTTTTCTATTAATGGACTTAGTTTTCCTGTTGTCCTAGGGTTCAATTCTTAATAATAAATCATCTCTCTACACATGTCCATACATCCAATCACGGAATTAATCAATACAGACTTTATCCTCCAAGAGTAAAATTCTCACACAAAAAAAAAGAAAAGAAAGAAAGAAAGAAAGAAAAAAGTCGAATCAACACTATGATGCAACAACAACAAAAGAACATAAACAACACTTTCTAATCCACTTTTTCCACTAAAACATCGTCGATTTTTGGTGTTTTCTCTGACTGATCTTGACCGCATCAGCTGTGCACCGACCACGGAAAGAAATAAAAGGAAAGAAAATAAAGGTTTATTTCAGGTTCAATCATGCAATTCGCTCGACCCCAAAACCCCGCCAAGTCCAACTTTCCTTTTCTCATTTCTCCTTTATTTCCTTCGTTTCTCCCCTTTTTCACGTTCTCCGCCTTTTCTCTGATGCCTCCCCCACTTACCAACGGGTACGTCACGCGTCGTAATCCAACACGGGACCGAGAACGAGAGAAAATAATACGAGCACTCAGGTTGTGATGTAGAGAGCGACCGCCATGTTATCGCCTCAATTTTGAAGTTGATGTAGGAACGAAACGCGGAGGGAATTTCGTGTTATTTTTACGCTAATTATGGCTTTTATTACCATTCTAAGACGTATGTTGGCTCGGAGGCTTACTATCGCATGCTTGAAAGGTGTTATGAAGTCCATGGATATGATTTATTAGATAAAATTTGGGTTTATTTACATTTTCTTCTCCGTTGCTTGGGTAGCCGACAATTTCGAATGTCATTGGTCCGTTTGAATAAATTTGTTGTTTTTCACATTTTGTCTTTGAATAACAATTAAAGGGTCAGAAAATAACAGTATAATGTTCTACAAATTTCAGATGAAATGAAAGAAGTAATGTCCTTTGAATTTGATATATATTTTTTTCTCTCGTTCAAACCGTCACGTCAAGACGCTCGACGTCACATTTGTGGGATATATGTGAACATGTTTTGCAGACGATTTCATTAATAGAGAAACCGTATTGTTCATGCTAATAAGAATCTCCCTGATAACAATGATGAGCAGTACTATTCAAAACCGTTGGGATTCAAAACGTGCATTTATAACAATATTTTCTGGACTGGCATTGTTATTCCCCGTTATTTAGTGTTGTCGCTCTATATGAATGCTGAGCGGAATACTGCAGCAGTGAGTGTATTGCACGCAACTTGAGATCTGAGTGTTCAATGACATTAAATTGGTACCGCAGTTATTAATTTAATGAATCCCCAATCAAGTTGGCGACGCATTTTGGCGAGGAATCTATAGCAACGCGACGCTTATAACGGCAGTTTGAACATTTCAAACCGATATGAAATGTTATATCCAATACATGAACGGATTTGCGTATAAATCTATATGAAAATAAAGAATAAATTATATCTACATATAATCGTGTATGCTAAAACATAAGTACCCGATGGTGGATTTTTGGGCGGCAGATCCTACGGACCTAATGCAACAAAATGATTGACCCCATTTAATGAACTCTCTTGGTGATGATTCTGTAACGCCTTATTTATATTATTTGATTTAAAAAGTGATACTGCTTTATAACTTAATCACTTTGGTAATTAAAAGCATGAAATAACCGATTTGTCTGTGCGTCCGTACTTCGTTCAAAAATGTAAATAAACAAAGCATCAAACTCTTCCTCGGACGAGTTTTATTTATTTCTCACTTTTTAGAGAAGGGATTTAATTTGTTTTATGTCATCGCTCCACCATTTTCTTATAATTTCGCAATTACTTAGTTAATTAAGGTGAAGGAGTTACTTCTCGATAGTACTTATCACATTAATTTTTCTTTCTTTCTGTTTATTCCTTAGACTTCGTTCTAGTTCATGAATATATCAAATACTCCTGGAATAAACACACGTGGTGGAATGGGTAACGAAAAATGCTTATTTCCCACCACTTTAATAATATAATAATGCTTTTGTTCAGTATTTACACTGGAAAACGCGAGGCTATAACAGCGACCGTGAGAGCGACTGGCTTCTCGCTTGGCCTAATACATGCGATACATCTTACTATACACATGACGTAGTAAAGAAAATAATAATGTTATCAGATTAGAAAAAATATCATGATAATAATGATGACTATAAGTTGCAAATGGGTTAATGCTGAATGGTGTAGTTTTAATTGCCTCCCACAAACCCCTTAAATTTCCTTCTTGATCTTGCCTTAATATATAGATAATATCTATACATGTCTGTAACAATGTATGTAACTATCAGTAATAACAAATATATAACCGTTATAATTGTGATACTATGAAATATATACTCCAATACTATGGTAGGATTAACGTAATTACTACCAATGTCGTGGAAGGTGCCTTATGACTTGTATATTTATTTGCTATGTGGGAATATGGAGTACTTGTTTTTGGGTCCCTGTGACATGTATCGTGCACAGATGGGAATGCATAAACAGTGCGATTTCATAAGATATACAACCGATACTGTTATGTGGGGATACTTTATTTATTTACGGATTAATATTTGATGAAAATGTTCAAGTCACTTGACACATCACTTATGCCTATATATATATATATATATATATATATATATATATATATATATATATATATATATATATATATATATATATATATATATATATATATATATATATATATATATATATATATATATATATATATATATATATATAATATATAATATATATATATATATATATATATACTGTACTGGAACTGGTCAGATTGTGAAAATTACCTGCTCACCTGCCTTGCCGATTATGATTCAGCAGCAGTACAGTGCTACACTATTCCTCCTAAAGATAGCGTAAGTCCTATGTCAGTATTGCCAAGATTAGCTTCCGTAGACATGACCTCCCCCATGAAGTTTATATTGGTGGATTGTCCTACCATGCCTGACCCCTTCCTCTTCAATATCAGAAATGTTGGCGTTTTGACCTCCCAGCCAAACACTGTCGCTCCACAGCCCACTGCCCTCTATGTGCCCAACCTGGTCATGGCCGTTCAAATCGCCCGGCTCAATCGCGTGCATATGCCAATTGTGCAGACTCCCACAGTGTATTTTATAAGAGCTGCTCTGCCTATGAGCTTGAAAGTGAGGAAGCAATTCTCAGTCTAGCCTCATTATACGTGAGGCTAGACTTTGACGTCAATGTCAAAACTTTGGACATCCTGCTAAACACTGCCGTTCGACAGACCGATGGCCTCTATGTGCCCAACCCGGCCATAACCGATCATTCTGCTCTGCACAAACACGCACATGTGCTAACTGCGACGGCACCCATAATGTATTTTATAGAAGCTGTCCCACTTACAAGTCTGAGGTAGCAACTCCCAGATCCAAAAATGATCTCACTCTACGTGAAGCCAGATAGGAAACACGTCAACGAGGTTTCTCTCATACTCCCTACTCTAGTAATGTCGCTAGCTCTGCTCCTCCCCTTTCACCCTAAGATGTTCCTACACCCTCCCCTATACCTACTTACTTCCCCACTTCTACTTCTACCTCCCCCAGTCAAATTCTTTTGCCACTCTAAATCCAGACACTCCAATCTCAACTACAGCCCCAACACCGTCCCCTCTCCCTCCCGCACTACCGCAGTAGACACTAAATGTTCTAACCCTTCTTCCCCTACAGCACACTCACCTCCACCTACCTTTCCTTTATTCCTCAGACACCAGTCTTCTCTCCCCCCCCCTCATAAGAAAACCCTTGTCTCACAAAACTCTCTAACCAACTCCACTGCAGAAACTATAGAATATATCCAAAACTATATGCTTGAGACACAAAATTCCATAACTCATGCTCCCTCCACACTTGAAGTGATTGCCGATATTCATACCCCTCCTACTCATATTCCCCCAACACCCCTTCCTCCTACTCCCTCTCAACACAAACTAACTTCCTCAATTCCGTCTACTACCGATATCCATCCTCCTGATATACACCATCCTCCTATTCGTATTCCCCCTACACCCCTTCCTCCTACTCCCTCCCATCCCCATCAACTTCAAGTATATCCATCCTCCTACAACTCAAGGGAAAAATGGGCGTTTCCTATTGGAAAAGGGCGTTTCCCACTTAAAAAAGATGTGACCCTAAAGGCCCGGACCTGTTCTTTGCTACGGGCCCTAGCCGCCTGACGTCGGCCCTGATTAAGACCATCAAGGAACGCACCCCCATCACCTTCACCCTATCTTCTGATGTGTCCTATAATGCTCCTTTTTCTTCTGAACTCAACGCTGCATTACAGTCGTGCCGCAACATGCATGAAGGCCCTGACGGTATTCACTATCGTATGCTCTGACACCTCCCATCTTCCTCACTATCCTTCCTATTAACTATTTTCAACCACATATGGACGTCAGGAAATTTTCCTTCTCATTAGCGAGAAGCTCTTATCCTACCTTTCTTAAAACTCAATAAATTAGGTACCCTCCCTCAAGATTACCGCCCCATCGCTCTAACTAGCTGCTTGTGCAAGCTACCAGAACGAATGGTTAACTTCCGCTTAATGTGGTATCTTGAATCTCACAATCTCCTCTCTCCTTCCCAGAAAGAGCACATGATACCACATGGCGGTACCATATTCTCCAACAATTGTCTTCCCTAGGTATATGCGGAAACATGGGTGTCTTCATGAAATCTTTCCTCTCCAAACGTACTTTCCAGGTCAAAATTGCCTCTTACACATCATCATCCTTTCCTCTGTTCGAAGGCGTCCCACAAGGAAGTGTGCTTAGTACCACTTTATTCGTTGTTGTAAAGGACATTGTCTCAGTCCTACCACCAGGAGCCCGGGCATCACTGTATGTTGATTACTTAACCATCTACGCATCTGGCACATCCATACCAGATCTCTGTCAATTCCTGCAGTCTGCAATAACATCAGTATCTTCTTGGGCCACTAACCATGGCTTTCGCTTCTCTATCTCCAAATCTTTCTCCATCCTTTTCTCTCGCTCACGTATAGGTTCCCAACCCCCACTCTTCTTATATAACGCTCCACTCCAATACCATTCATCTGGCAAGTTCCAAGGCCTTATTTTTGACCCCAAATTGTCCTGGCGAGACCATATCTTGTACATTAAAGAAAAAGCTCAACGCCACCTCCGAATCTTACAAACTTTCCCACATATCTTGGGGCTCAGATCGCAAAACTCTCCTCCATCTTTATGTTGCCTTGATCCTCTCCACTCACGATTATGGATGTCATAACTACTCCTCTCCCTCAGCCTCCTTTCTTGCTGACCTTGATACACTCCACCACTGCGGTCTCCGCTTCGCCCTAGGCGCCTGCCGCTCCTCTCCAGTTGAGAGCCTGTATACTGAGTCTGGAGTGCCATCTCTCCCTCGACGTCGAGCTCTTCTCTCTCTCCGATGCTATGCTTGATTCCACCAACTTTCCCTTGACAAACTAACTATCCCACAATCCCTGCTTCCTACCTTTACCTCTTCTCCACGTTTACCTTCTCCTTTCTCCGTACGCATGGATACCCTCCTCTCCCATTCCCCCTTTCCCCACCTCCAACCTCTC